TTGCTCCTCCCTGTTTGTTGATATAGAACATGCAGGTCACATTGTCTGTCATGATCCTGATTGATTTGCCCCAGTGAGGGGTAGGAAATGAAAGCAAGTGTTCCTGACTGCCCTGAGTTCTAGCAGGCTGACGTGGAGACTGGTTTCCTGAGGTGGCCATCTGCCCTGAGTTGTGAGGGCACTGAGGTGACCTTATCCCAACAGTGATGCATCTGTTGTCATGGTTCTTGTTGGAGCTAGGTGAATGAAAGAGATGCTTGCACAAACGCTGGGCTGATTCTTTTCCACTAGTCTAGGGAGTTCCTCACCTGTAGGGGAACTGTGACCTGCCTCTCCAAAGTGTTTCTGGCCTGTGAATAAGTCATTCTGAGCCAGCCATAAAAGCAGCAGAGGCATAGCTTTGCCCAGTCGGTCACCAAGGTGCAAACTGCCATGTGTCCCAGGAGCTGTAGACAGTTTCTTGAACTGTCCTGACCAGACCTGAAAAAATTATGAACCTGGCTACCAACGAATCCAAGTACGCTCCTATCAACTGTATTTTCTGTACACGGGCTAATTGTGGATTTTCTTGCATTTAGATGCAGACCCAATTCCTGAAAAAAAGAGAAAGCAGAAGACAGCACTGCTTCACAAGATCAGTCTTTGAGCAGTGATTTATCAGGGTACAGGAAGACTAAAATCGCTGCTCATCAGATGTAAGCAGCCACTACCACCAGGACCTTTGAGAACACCCGAGGAGCCACAGAGAGGCCAAAAGGAAGTACTCAGTACTGAAAATGGCCTATATTAAAACATAGGTGTTTCCTGTGTGATGGGTGTCTTGCTATATGGAAATAGCTGTCTTGTAGGTCATAGGTTGAAAACCAATCACTTGCCTCTACTGAAGGGATTATAGCTTCCAGAGTCACCATCCTATGTATAACAACTGCTGCAAAGACGGACCTGGTAGTGGTGTCTGTGGCATCCAAGGACACTTGAAAAGAACTGAGAAGATGGACTGAAATTGTTCCCTATGTTTCCCTGTGGAAGAAATTTCAGTACATTTATTATACCTTGTAAAATTATATTTAGTAATGATCGCCTGATAGTTTGTGATCTGAAATTGCAGGATCATGGATGAATAAGACTTCCGTCCAAAAAGGTCTAGCCTCTTTTGGTCCTTACAGGAGTAATGTCGCTTACGCTGCTCATTTACTGTACGCACTACCAAGGAGTGAAGTGGAGGGCTGGAGAACAAAAATTCTGAGGGGGAACATAATATTACTTATTTGTCCCTTTACAATGGTAGTGGGTGTTTGCCACACAGTCTTAGCTGAGTCCAGGAGCGCCTCATTAATGGTGGGAGTTGGACTGTACAATGTCTAGCTGTTTGTGGTCTGGCAAATGGCTGGCAATGTACAGTCCAGAGATCCCACCACCCTTGTTGTCATGCACAAGGATCTTTTCTGTGAATGTCAAAAAACAGGTTCCTACACAGATACATAGGAGAACCCTGTACAGAGATAGAGACTGAATGGAGGTCTCCTTTATTCTCCTCAATATCCCCCCAATTATGGGGAAGAGGCACCAGCAGGGTGGAGAGTCCTATGGTACCAGAGGGTGATGGTAATCTGCGGATCGAGGTCTCAGTACCAAGAGACACTTGGTACCCATGAGCAGTGGGGACTCTGGTTCATCTACCTCAGACAAGCCCTTAAGAGTACATTAATTCTTGCGGTACTGAGCAGTGGATCAGTACCAACATGGCCGAAGTAGATGGTACCACTGATTGGGAGCGTAACATCCCAGGGGCCACTGGTGTCTGGAGCTGTGGTTTTGCCCAGCATCAAGGGTGCCTTGTAGGTAGGTACCAGTGGCGGGCTGTGACTGACTATTCCACTCTGGAGAGCTTATCCTTGCCCTCCTTGTCTCTCATAGATAGTACCAGGGTCCTCGCTGAGCTGTGTTTCTCTTTAGAGCTCCGGGACTTGCCGGCCCCACCGGTACCAGAGGAGGAGTTTTTCATCTCGATGGTACCAAGCCAAGAGGTCGAGGCTTCCGAGACCATAGATCTAGCAAGGGACAAGATCTAGTTTTGTATGATGACAGTCCAAGTGCCTATTCTTCAATGGTTTCTCAGAGGCTTCCATAGCCTTCCTCTTTTTAGGGGAAACCTGCAACAGCCATTGAAGGGGTGCTGGATTTGTCCAGAGACAGGGTTACAGTGGAGGTCTCCTGACCTGACTCAGAAGTGGGTTGAAGGGAACATGCCCTCATCAGCAGCCTCAGTTTAATTTCCCTGTTCTTCCTTGCCCCAGATTTGAAGGCCAGGCAGTAGTTGCACTTCTGGGAGACATGGGACTCCCCGAAGCAACAACACACTTGGAGTGGCTACCACTTACTGACATAGCCTCTCAAGAATAAAGGCAACATTTGAAACTCTGGAAGCGAGACGTGACCTGCCAGGAGAATAAGGCTCCCGGAGGAACAGGAAGGAGACAAAACAAGTAAATCCTCTCATTACTTATAGCTTACTAACTATAAACTATCTACTAACAACTAAAACATAACAACTAAATACACTACCTAATCCTAAACCAAAAACTATAGGTAAACTGCACAAGGGAATAGCTGAGGCACGCTCAAGGCAGACACGTTAAGGGTCCATCTCAGGCCAAAGCAGTTGAGAAGTAACTGAAGGCAGTTCACCCACGCATCCCTGTATAGTCTTGGAGTGTGGTACCAGGATACACAGGATGCATGTGCAGGCTAAACAAACACTGCTAACAGAAAAATCTCCAGTCAAAGGCTCAAGAGGCACATGTACACCTGCAGTGGAGCACCCAAAGGGACACTACTCAAAGCAACAGCTAAAGTTGATAACAGAAATTGTGGGATTTGGAGAGCATTTAAGATTCCTAATATTCTTTAACGACTTGTCACAAGACCACTCTTAGAATTGCTTCTTTTAAGTAACTGATTTAAATACTCTCCCCCCCCCCACCCAAAGGACTTAGTTAAGATTAGAGAGAGACAAGGTGGGTGAGGTAATATCTTTTATTGAACCAGCTTCAGTTGGTGAGAGAGTCAAGCTTTCGAGATACACAAAGCTCCTCCTCAGGTCTGGGAAAGGTACTCAGATGTCACGGCTAAATACAAGGTCAAAGAGATAGCACTAGTTATTGAAGTTAGTTCAATAAAAGCTATTACCTCACTCACAGTCTGTCTGTCTAATATCCTGTGACTGACATAGCTACAACAGCACTGCATACAACAATTAAGATTACTCACTTTTTCCATTTGTAAACTATTTAGCTTATCCGTAATAAACCAGGCTTACCGACCCTTAGACAAAAGTCCTTTGCTATGTATAAACTTTTTCAGTTATTTATGATACACAGAGAGGACTGAGTATTGATTTCGGGACTAATAAACCTTCGCTGTAGTTTACTTAGATAAAAGTGTCCCATCCAAGTGCAGACCCCCTCTCTAAAGTGTAATCTCTATTAAAAGCTGTCCACAAAGAAGCAACTGTAACTGAAGTAACCATTGCATGTTTATGTTTTGTTTTTATTTTCCTTTCTTTACTAAGGAAATAATCATAGTTAATGACTGCGATTGTTTTGCTCGTCTTCAATCCTGGTGTCCCTTAAGATTGTGGTTTTCAACCTTTTTTCATTTGCAGCCCCCTTTGGAAATTTCAAATGGAGGTGCAGACCCCTTTGGAAATCTATTGTCTGTATATACAGGAGTTGAATTCTGTTCAGTGAGTTTTCAGTCTAAGTCTTTCGCGGACCTCAAACATAGTCCATGGACCCCTGGTTGAGAACCACTGTCCAGAGGCATAAAAAGGACCATGTGTGACTAAAACAGTGGGAGTGATATCCCTGAGTTGGTATTAAGAGACATAATTATTCAGATTTGGCCTACTATTTTCTGTTTTTCTAGACTATACATTTTAGTAATTTGAGTAATTATATAACTTGGCACTCAACAACTTAAAGACACCCCTTTCTACCCCACAACACATCAATCACAGGGAACAGACTACACAGAATCCAAATGCTCTTCCAAATTATTGTAACTTGTCCCACAATCACCAAGTTCACAATTACAGCTGCAGGAAATAACATACTGAGAGCTTTTTAGTACTCTGGTACTACTACTCAATGACAATGCCACAACAACTAGAGAGTGACAGGACAGCACAAGACTGCAATGTCATGCAGCAATCATCCTTGAATGACATATCAGCTGCTTCACAGGAAACGAACACCTGACTTTACGCCAGCAAAGGCAACACAACAGCTTTCTAAAACAAAGCCTCAGACTAAAACACGTTTTTTTAGACAGAGAGGAAGAATGGTCTTGTGGTTAAGGAACTGCTTAAGGACTCCAGGTTCAATTCCCAAGTCTGTCTCTCACTTTCTATGTGACCTTGGGTAAGTCGCTTTCTCTTTCTGCCTCAATTCTTCATCTGCAAAATGGGGGTAATACTACTTCCTTTCTCCCACCCTTTGTCTATTTAGACTGTAACCTCCTCGGGGCAGGGACTGTCTCTTACTTCGTACATGTACAGCACCCAGCACAAGGGAGCCACAAACTCTGTTGAAGCCTCAAAGGCACGACAGCAAGATAAATAACAGAAGATCAAAATAAGTTGGCAGCATCCCTATAAGTTTTAGAACATAAGCACAAAGTGACTAGAAAATAATCACTCAGACTTAAGAGCTCCTCAGAGTAGAGACTTTGACTTTCCTTATGTTAGGAAAGCACTTAACACACTGTGATCACTATTGGTAATAAAGCATATCCACTGCAGGGACATGCATGAGAACAGTGCCCCCAGCTACCTCCTCGTTAAAGGCATAGGGCCAAAGAGCAGGCACTACATGAAGGACAACCTACAGGCAGGCTGGGGGTTGGAAAAAACATTTCAGCTTTTATATACAGAAGCCCAAAATCTCATTTCCTAGCACATTCTTCTCAACACTGCTCTTTCCAAAGAGATGGTTACTCACACAAAGATGTTGTCTTTTGGCATGATGTGACTTAACCCTTCATCCATTTGGAAAATTTTGTGGAATCGGTGATTATAAACATCTGTCACCACCATCTAAAAGAGTGAAGTTAGAGACAGTTAGACAAACTAAAATAATTCACAATTCATTTTTCTTTCTCAGACATTTTTAATGTTCACATCACCAAAGTGTTTATGGAGGCTCTATAGTGACACCTTACGGTTGATTCGACATACTATTAACTGAACCTAATCAGACCAATGAGGTAGAACAACAACAATTGGGCCTGAATTTTCTGAGACACTGAGGACCTGCAGCTCCCAGTGGCTTCACGTCAAGCCCAGTGGCCACTGTCCTGTGAAGAGGATATCATACATCCCAGTGCATCAAGGCCCAACAGGCTGGGATGTCAGCCAGAGATAACTGAACACTTAACTACAAAAGGAACTGAACTGATCCTCTGAACTGGCATGAGGTAACAAGTTATGGGAATCCAGACAACTTCCCACAAACCACATGTTTCAAGCCTGACATTTTAATGGGCAATAAAATCATTCACTTCTTAAGAAAGATAAAGTACATCCCATTTCCTGTTGCTACTAAGGAGGTTTCTAGGGAGTAGATACCCACAAAGTAATAATATGAGGGGCAAAAAGGATAAACTAAGGGTATGTCTTCACTACCTGCTGGATCGGCAGGCAGCGATCGACCCAGCGGGGATCAATTTATCGCGTCTAGTTTAGACGCGATAAATTGATCCCTGAGCGCTCTCCTGTCGATTCCTATACTCCAGCACCACGAGAGGCGCAAGCAGAGTCGATGAGGGAGCGGCAGCAGTCGACTCACCACAGTGGAGACACCACAGTAAGTCGATCTAAGTACATTGACTTCAGCTACATTATTCACATAGCTGAAGTTGCGTAACTCAGATTTGAACCCCACCAGTGTAGACCAGGGCTAAGAGGAGTTGCAATGGTAGTGGCAGTCATTTTTCTGTCTCTTCCCTCACCCCACTTTTTAAAACCATTATTACTGTCATTACTATAATGGAGGTGTCAAAGTGAACAGGGTATGCCTGTGTCCTGGCTTTCTTTTTAGAATTCAGGCAAGCAAGGAGTTATGTATCAGTCCAATTAGTTAATGCTTAGTTACTATTTTGCTCCTCTTTGCTTATTGTCCATTTCAAAGTTTTTCCAATAATAAAATGCTTTAAAACGAAAGAACACATTTATTAGCAAAATTATTGCGTGTGCTTGGTCTTACATTTTCTGCAGGGATCTTGGAGAGTTTGGAAAGAGCTTCACACAGGTCTGATACAGCCCCCATCATTGGCACAACTACCCGATACTGGAAACAAAGAGAACGTTAAACTTACACGAGACAAAATAAATCCAAGCATGGAGCAGAAAGTTGGCAAATGGGAGTTGAGCAATTCATTAGTCCTGACATCTTAAAAGCAGAGAATCCTATAGCAAGTATGGTTTCCAGTCATACTTGGCTGTCTTCAGTGTCTCAGGTTCAGATTTGAAGCCCAGACAGCCACAGCACAGATCACAGAATTTCACCCAGCAATTCCTCTGTCTAGCCCAACAACTTGGGGTGGCACTAGATCTTTTAGAAAGACATCCAATCTTGATTTCAAGTGATTGAACAATCCACCACAATGCCCCCAAAAGCTGTTTCAATGGTTAAATACCCTTACTGTTGAAAAATCCATGCCTTATTTGCTCTCTCAATTGCTTCCATTTCCAGCCACTGGATATTGCAATTAACACTGCAAAAGGAACCATCCTAGAGAAAGTCTCCCAGAAGGTTTTGACTTTATGCATCAAAAGCAGGGGTGGGCACATTTTTTGGCTCAGTGGCCACATCTGGGAACAGAAATTGTATGGCAGGCCATGAATTCTCACAAAATTGGGGTTAGGGTGCAGGAGGGGTGAGGGCTTTGGTTCGGGGGGGGGCCAGAAATGAGGAGTTCAGGGTGTGGGAGGGGGCTCTGGCCTGGGGGAGTGGGATGCGGGGGTGGGGTGAGGGCACAGGCTGGGGTGCAGGCTCTGGGATGGGGCTGGGGAGTTTGGGGTATAGGAGGGTGCTCTGGGCTGGGGCAGGGGTGCAGGAAGGGATGCAGGCTCTGGCGTGGGGCTGGGGATGAGGTGTTTGGGGTGCAGGAGGGTGCTCTGGGCTTGAATCGAGGGGTTTGGAGGGCAGGAGGGGGAGCAGGGCTGGGGAGCAGGGGAAGGCTCAGGGGTACAGGCTCCGGGCAGCGCTTACCTCAAGCGGCTCCTGGAAGCAGCTGCATGTTCCTTCTCTGGCTCCTATGTGGAGGCGCGGCCAGGTGTCTCTGCATGCTGCCCTATCTGCAGGCACTGCCCCTGCAGCTCCCATTGGAGCGCCAGAGGGGGCCACTGGAGCGCATAGGAGGCAGAGGAAGGCCATGCCATGACTTCCGGAAGCTGTGCCCGACCCTGCTCCCTGGCTGGAGTGCCAGGGCGGGGCCATGCAGCGGCTTCCACAAGCTGTGTGGAGCGGCCCCCAACCCTGCTCCCCAGCTGGAGCAGGGTAAGCCCCACTCCACAGCAGGACCTCGAGGGCCAGCTTAAAACAGCTGGTCAGCTGGATCCAGCCTGCAGTTTGCCCACCCCGATCTAAAGCAAGCACCGGGAAAGGAGAAAGCCATGATCAGTTTGGCTGGATTTCTACTATACCTCATGTAAATTGGAGTTAACCAATGTGTCTTCCTGCAAATCACTACTCCAGAACTATCTACCTCCCATAAGGATATCACGTAGGGACTGGCTAAAACCAGTGATTTCCTGTGGCCACTGGGAATACTTTGCAGAGAGGAATAAATATTTTGCAGACACTAGAAGAAGAGACAAGTTGAGACTAATGCCAGGAGTCAAGCTCTCCCTTCACTTCTGCTCAAGGCCTTCCACCAGTCTCCATCCTCCTCATCCCTGGAATAGTAGGTTCTCCAAGCACGCACTAACCCTCGGGAGCCAAGCAACACTACCAGAGCCTACTAACATCAGGCACCTGCAGCCCACCATGGCCTTCCAACACTGAGTGCCCCCCTCCCATGTCACCACATGAAATGAACTTTTCTGTACAAAACAAACAAAATAAAGTTATTCAGCTAATGCAACAGCTGTCTCCTGCCTCTGGTTAGATGTTCGGGGTGCGTGTGTGTGCGTGCGTGTGTGGCCCCAGCTCTGCGCAGTCATCACAACAGACCTCAATTCCTATAACAAACCCCTGACCTACGTCTGAGCTATTGAAGTCCTCAAATCATGGTTTAAAGACTTCAAGATGCAGAGAATCCTTCAGCAAGTGACCCATGCCCCACGCTGCAGACGAAGGCGAAAAACCCCCAGGGCCTCTGCCAATCTGCTCTGGAGGAAAATTCCTTCCCAACCCCAAATATGGTGATCAGCTAAACCCTGAGCATGTGGGCAAGACTCACCAGCCAGAAACCCAGAAAAGAATTCTCCGTAGTAACTCGGATCCCACCCTATCTAGCGTCCCATCACAGGCTTTTGTCTAAACGTCAAAGATCAATTAATTGCCAAAATTAGGCTATCCCATCATATCATCGCCTCCATAAACTTATCAAGCTTAGTATTGAAGCCAGATACGTCTTTTGCTTCCACTGCTCCCCTTGGAAGGCTATTCCGGAACTTCACTCCTCTGATGGTTAGAAACCTTCATCTAATTTCACGTCTAAACTTCCTGATGGCCAGTTTATATCCATTTGTTTTTGTGTCCACATTGGTACTGACCTTAAATAATTCCTCTCCCACCCTGGTATTTATCCCTCTGATATATTTATAGAGAGCAATCACATCTCCCCTCAGCCTTCTGTTGGTTAGGCTAAACAAGAGTCTTTCAGAAGATAGGATTGCCCATACAGCTGGTGTGGGCAGTGATGCACGTGAAGGTCGGTCTGGGCAGTGCACAGAAACACAGTCTTCTAGAAACTCAAGAGCCTTTAGGGGCACTTCCATAAGGTGCAGCTGGGGCTGCAGTTGGCAGTCCTGGAAAGCCTGGGGTGTGAATGCCTTGCAGGCAGCATACTGAGTAGAAGAGGGAGAAATCCCCCAAACAGATCAAAAACCTCACTCGGGCATCTGATTCTGGAATCATCAGCAACATGGAAACAGCTTTTCAACCCCCTGCAGGTTTCCAGTCCAAGCACAGCTTCAGCACTGGAGGGAATCTTGAGAACTCAGCTAAATTTAGGGACATATTCCTTAAGCCCTAACTACACTAAAACCTAAACCCCTACCTCAACTACAGAACAGGGCACTAAGCTTACCACCACGGCAATAATCAGACACAGCAGAAGGAACTGAGACAGCTGAGAAGTGCACTCTCTTCTATAACCTGGGTGCTGAATGTGCTGAATGTTTGAAAACCTCAGAACATGTACACAACACTGCTTTGAAGAGGGCTCTGTGAGCTTGTCAGCAGAGGGAGCTATCCCACAAGTGGGGATGCCTGGAAGTTCTTGAAGACAGGAACTGCCACCAGTGGATTGTCTAATCCAATATCCTGATTCAGACAGAGGCCAATACCAGATGCTTCCGAGAAAGGTGCAAGAATCCTTGCAGTGGTTAATTACTTAACATGTCCCTACAGTAAGATTCCACATGACCCCAGAGGCTGCCTTGTTCATTTAAATCCTCTATTTTTATTTTTACCTCATCTGTGCATTGTTCCAATTATCCATAAAATTTTCTAATCCTTTCTTAAATCCTGTTAAGCTTTTGGCCTTAATGTTATCAAGTGGCAATGAATTCCACAGGTTAATTAGGTGTCACAAAGTACTTGCTTTTATCAGTTTTAAATGTGTTATCCTTTTTCATTGAAGGTCCACTTTGTTCTTGTTTTATGGAAATGCTTATAAACACTATCTATGCCATTTATTATTTTATATACCTCTATCAGGTCTGCTCCTATTAGCCTCCTCTCTAAACTAAACAGTGTGTCATTTCAATAGTCACTCACAAAAAACCATTCCCAGGCCATTAACAATTTTATTGCCTCTCTCTGAATCCCTTCTGATTCTACTATTTCCTTTTTGAGATAGGGTGAACAGAAATGAACCCAGTATTCCAGATAAAGGTATCTCACTGGTTCATAATGATTTAATATCTTCAGAATTATTTTCCTTCCCTTTCTGTATAAATCTCAACTTATGTTTGCTTTTTTGACGGACACTGTACAATGAGCAGGTTTTCACTGATGAGTCTACAATAATGCTTCGGTCTTTTTCATTTAAAAATACAGCAAACTATATGAGTAGTTCAAATTATGGCCTCCAATGCACATTGTTTTGTATTTGTCAGCACTGCCTTTCATTTGACATTATGTTGCCCATTCTTTTAGCTTTATTTGATCTTTCTGAAGCTTCTTGGTCTTTTCTAAGTCTTCATCAACCTAAATAATTTTGTGCCATCTGCAATTTTTGCTACCTGATTATCCACTCCCATTTCCAGATCACAGATAAACCCACCTGGTAATACAGCGGGTACATAAAAGGGTCACGTTGTTCCTGAATTTCTTCAAACATAGGATATTTTCTAATTTCTGCTCGGGATCAAAAGGTCCTCTAGGAGCCCTATATGTTCAAGAGAAGTTTCAGCCTAGCACTTCCCATGGCACCAGAGCCAGGCAGGGTTGGATGTGACAATTAAATGTGTTATTGCTTATGCTCTCCAATATTATCATATGTAGTCTTGTTGCCACCAGGGCAAATAAGATTCCTGCTGCCCATCATCCCAGTCACTTAGACAGAGATATTTTCCAAACCACTTTCAATTTTGGGTGCTCAATTCCCAATAATTTTTAAATGAGAATTTGGCATCCAAGTCTTTTGGGTGACTTTGAAAATCCCAGCCTTAATAGTCAAATAGATCAGATTTTTCTGAACTGGTTGCAGCGACTGTCTTTGGGGATAATTAACACCTACAAATGTCTTTTTTTACCTGGGTAGGTCTATGATGCAGGCCTGCAAAAACCAAAACAACGTCCATGGAACGATCTTTCTTCAAGGGCAGTGGAAGAGTTAAATAGCAGAAAGGGTCAAAAGTCACAGAAACTTTAGAGCATTTTGGACAGACCAGGGTGGATTTGAAAAGGCCATGGAAAATATCCACAATAATAGAGTCATTTCTTAACCTATGGTTCTCCCAGGCTTCTTTCGCCACCACCTGTAGAAAGGAAATAAAATTAATTCATACACTTCACTAGAAATGTAAATACAGAGACATGAGATGAAAGGAACTCAGCATAATTCTGATATTTTAAAAATATATATACACATCTAAGCAAGCTGGAAAAACTATCAAGGTTCCCTGAACTCTGTTCCCCTTGCATAATGACAGGTTTCAGAGGAACAGCCGTGTTAGTCTGTATTCGCAAAAAGAAAAGGAGTACTTGTGGCACCTTAGAGACTAACCAATTTATTTGAGCATGAGCTTTCGTGAGCTACAGCTCATCTGATGAAGTGAGCTGTAGCTCACGAAAGCTCATGCTCAAATAAATTGGTTAGTCTCTAAGGTGCCACAAGTACTCCTTTTCTTTTTCTGTTCCCCTTAACCGCCTACCATTCTCTCTCACTAACCAGGCCTCAGGTCTGCAAGTCTTCCCTGCTGCAAAAGGAAATAACGGACACCTAATTCTACCAGTCTGTGTTAGGTTACAGGGAGATGTCAGGCCTGTATTGCTACAGATTGCCTCAGTGTTGGAGGTGAGGGTTGGAGAGAGAGAGGGGACAGTGGAGGGAGCAAGTTGCTTGAAGTCAATGAGCCTGATCCAGAGGCCATTGCAATCAATGGGAGTCTTCCCATTGACATCAAGGACTTTGGATCAGGCCCCATTTACTGGATGCAGCTAAAGTTCATCTCTAGGCTGTATATGGAAACGGATACAGAACGGATTTCCTGCCCATAGTGGGGTGTGCAAGGCTTCATTTAGTCCTCATCCATAGAAGGTCATTTGCTTTCTGTCCTGACCCAGAAGGGACAGGTTGTGGTCTCCAGCTTGCAAAAGCTCTCAGTTTATAAATGTTATGTAGAGTTTTCTCTGGAAGCGTAGAAAACCGCAGCCCAGAGCCTGAAGTTAGAAGATGATGATTCATAGACAAGGCCAGAAGGGACCACTGTGATCATCTAGTCTGACCTCTTGTGTAACAAAGGCCATAGACTTCCCTGAATTAATTCCTGTTTGAATGAGAACAATCTTTTAGAAAAAATCCAGTCTCGGTTTAAAAATTTCCAGTGATGGAGAACCCACCTCAACCTTTGGTAAATTGTACCAATTATTAATGATTCTCAATATTAAAAACGTGTGCCTTATTTCTAATCTGAAATTGTCAACTAGCTTCAACTTCCAGCCATTGGACTTTGCATAAGCCCTGTAATATCAAATGCATTTCCCATGTAGGTACTGTAACCCATTAACTGTCTCTTTATTAAACTACACAGATTGAGCTCCTCAAGCATCACTACAAAACACATTTTTCTAATCCTTTAATCCAGAGGTTCTCAAACTGTGGTTTGCGGACCACCAGTTGTTCACGAGCTCCATTCAGATGGTCCGCGGATAGTTCCCTCTAAGGTGCGTGCCTGGGTGGCCGCACACAAGAGAATGAAGGGCCACCCACCTAATTGGTGGAGCTGCACAGGCGTGGCTCCACTAATTAGATGCCTTGACCCTGGAAAAGATGCACATGTAAGGTGAGGTGGTGACCAGGGGAGGGGGAGGGGGCAGTGGGGTAAGAAGAGGGGGTGGGAGGGAATTTGGGACGTGCAGGGCTGCCGCGGCAGGGGAGAGATCCCCCTCCTTCCCAGCCCGGCTGAGTGGCTGCTGCAGCGGGGGAGAGAGGGGGAGACCCCCTTCCTTCCCAGCCCCAATTCAGGGACGGCCGCAGCTGGGGAGAGAGGGCACATCCATTGCATTAGAAAGGTAAGACTACTAATATTAAAATATGAGTTGTGTGATTTTATTTGTAGAAAAAACATTAAATTATTATTAAGGTTTTTTTTACATAGCACTTTTATCAAAAGCACATTACAATACTTAGCTAACGGTACAAACGATATTTGGAAAGATCATTAAGTGGTCCACTGAGACCCGCAGCAATTTTCAAGTGTTCCGCGAAAAAAAAAGTTTGAGAACCACTGCTTTAATCACTATCATGGCTCTGTCTCTGAATCCTCTCCAATTTATCAACATCCTTCCTGAAATGTGGACACCAGAACTGGACATGATATTTCCAGTAGTAGTTGCAAGAGAGCCAAATACAGAGAGAATATAATCTCTCTACTCCTACTCAATATTCCCATTTATGCATCCAAGAATTGCATAAGTCTTTTTTGGCCACAGCTTTACACCAGGTGCTCACCTTCACAGCTAATTTACCATGATTCTTAAGTCTTTTTCCACAGTCACTGCTTCCCAACATAAAGTCCCCCCATCCTTTAAATATGGCCTACATTCTTTGTTTCCTGATGTGTGACTTAATATGTGGCTGTATTAAAATACATATTACCCAGATTTCCAAGCTTTCACCCAGATTACCAAGAAATCCAGAACCGTCTGTATGAGTGACCTGTCCTCTTCATCATTTAACAATCTTTGTATCAGCTGCAAACTTGATCAGTGATGATTTTACATTCTCTTCCAGGGCATTGATAAAAATGTTAAATAGCAGTGAGCCAAGAACCCCACCCTTCAGGATTCCACTAGAAACACACCCACTCCATGCTGATTCCCCATTTAGCTACATTTTGTGACCTAACGATTAGCCAGTTTTTAATGCATTTCATGTGTGTCATGTTAATTTTGTACTGCTCTAGTTTCTTAATCAAATGTCATGTGGTACCAAGTAAAATGATTTTAAGAAGTCTAAGTATATTACATTAACACTATTACCTTCATCAATCAAACTTGTAACGTCATCAAAAAAAAAAAAGTTAGTTTGACAAGATCTGTTTTCCCTAAACCCATGATGATTGGCAATTATAGCACCCTCCTTTAATTCTTTATTAATTGAGTTCCTGTAGCGGGGTGGCTACCCTGCTCCTAAAATAGAAGGGGTTAAAAGCAGCCCTGGAGAGGGCTGTGGCTGGAGAGGGCTGACTGGGGAAGCAGCCGCAGCTGAGCCACGCCCCAATCAGGCCCCAGCTGGCCTGTATAAAAAGGCTGTGAGCCAGAGGCTCAAAGAGTCTCTCTCGAGGTTGGGAGAGAGCAGGGCCTGGCTGCCTGCCTGACAGGGTACTGAGGTGCAGTGCTGGGGAAGGAGCAGGCTGAGTGGGGGCGCTCCAGGCTGGCAACTCCCCAGGCTGTAGGGCCTAGTCCAAGGCCCACAGAGGTACTGGGAGGCAGAGGAAGGCAACAGGTCCGAACCCCCTTGCCTATGATAAGTGGCCTTTACACTGCAGTCTGCCCCAGGGAGTGGGGGCTTGGTGATGACTGGCAGTAGCCCACACTGAGGCAAGGTGGGGATAGTGGGTTGGGGGTTCCCCAGGAAGGGGAGACCCAGAGGTAGAGTGAGGGGGTACTGCCAGGGGGCAGAACCCCAGAGAAAGGGGCACCGGGGTCTGTGAGGGACACAGGGGCCAGAGCGGTACTGATCACTGGCCTGCAGAGGGTGCTCCGGAGCCTAGTGAGCTAATTCCTGACCAGCAGGAGGCAACACAGGGGTGAGTCCGCTCCTTTACAGTTCCCATACCAGCTATTACATTAGCTTGCCCAGAATAGACATCAAACTGATGGGCCTAGAATTACTCTGCTCATCCCATTTATTATTTTTAAATATTAACACTTTAGCTTTCTTCCCCAGTATTCCAAGACACATTAAAAATCAACACTAATGGTCCAGAGACCTCCTCTGTCAACTCTTTTAAAACTCTTTGTTGCAAGTTATTTGAACCTGCCAATTTAAAAATGTCTAGTTTTAGCAGCTGCTATTAAATATCTTCCTTAGATACTCTTGGAATGGAAAGTATTTTATCAATCATCATCCTCCTAGGATACATCTACATCACTTGGCTTTTTCCCCAGTGAAGAGTAAGGGGGCTAAAGGAAATCTGCAGGCAGTAATCACAAAGCTATCTGAATTGGCTTTCTTGAAACTCTTTCCCAAGTTTGAGGATTTCTATTTACTGGGTATTTGCTTAAGCCTGTGGATTGGAAGTGCAGAGCATCTCCTTAAGTTAGAGGAAAAATGGAAGTGCTTGGATAAAAGGCAACGGTAGGCTGGGTCCAAGGCCCCCCCTCTCCTTAACAGGATTCTAGGCAATTCTTTATATACACAACAAACAGACTGATGTGGCCTCTTAGAGAAAAGATAAATTATGCCATCATTTGTGTTGCACATTATCGCATTCGCTGCACCATATGCACATAGAATACAAATATAATTTATTAAATTCTGTGCTCCAACCCTGCATATGGAATGACAGTCAAGTGATAAATTGCAGCAATATGGGATAATGCAGTTTACCATTCACGTTTGATTAGCTGCATTCTGCTCACTAATCTACCTCTATTGAGACTTCAAGCATTCCAAGTGTCAGAGCAATGCTGGGGATATAGCAAGACCACTGCAATCCCAAGGTGCAAACAATAACTTAAGTGCATTTGCAGCTTTAACTATCATCTTCCTGGCTTTGATAGCAGTTTAATACAGACTATTCATGCTATTTAAATGTAGCTCAGGGCCTCCAATTGAGCATAGGGTGTAGTTTTATCTAAGCACTGTACCGAATCAGGCCTGCCATTGGCATCCTTGAGCTCCAAGTAGGGCTTCTTCTTCACTCGGTTCAGATCCTCATGCAAGCCATCCAGGAGGAATGCCAAGAGCTCCTGAGAATCTTGCTGCTGGTACCCTGAGAACTGAGGGGCAAAACGGCCAACCTGGGTCTAAAATTAAAACAGAATAGGACAATCTGGTCAGAGCAGCATCATGCGTGTATTTGTAAAAATGAAAAGAAAATCATATCCTGGCTTCTTCAGAATTCAGCAGCAAGAAGCTGCTGTAGTTTATTGCTAACAATAATGAAGCTGAAGGCAACATAACAAGGATGTCAGTACAGATTTCCTGGCCTATTTTAAAGCCTTTAAAAATGCCTTTGATTGAAAGGCCAGGATGCTGGGAATCTGGACTTCCTGATACTAAGCTCTGGGTCAAGAAATACCAACTACCAGCACCTGGGGTGCTGTACAAGTTTCAGTTGTGTTCTTTTAGGAACATAATTGCTACAGTAGATCAGACCAGTGTCATAGAATCATAGAATATCAGGATTTGAAGGGACCTCAGGAGGTCATCTAGTCCAACTCCCTGCTCAAAGCAGGACCAATCCCCAATTTTTGCCCCAGATCCCTAAATGGACCCCTCAAGGATTGAACTCACAACCCTGGGTTTAGCAGGCCAATGCTCAAACCACTAAACTATCTCTCCCCCAAATCCATCTAGTCCAGGATCCTCTTACATCAGCCAGATACTTCAGAGAAAAATCCACAAATCCCTGTAGTTGATATTTATGGAACAAGAACATGTCCATAAAGAAAATGGCTCCCTAACTCATCAGTTAGAGCAGTGTTTCCCAAAGTGTGGCGGGCGCCCTTCCTCCCACATGACATGCAGGATTAGCTGGGTTGTGCAGAGCAGATAGGCCTCAAATGTCCTCCAGTCTCAGCTTTCACTAAAAATTATTAAGAGTGAAATTCTGGCCCCATTGAAGTCAGTGGCACAACTCCCAATGACTTCAATGGAGCCAGGATTCTACTCTAAGTCTCTAGCTGTTCTAATTTCAAACAAACTTTGAAAACTGACGAGTGTATAACCAAAAGTAACAACAACAGCCTGAACTTGCGCAGACCTTGAAATAATCGCTCTGAGGTGTGAGCTGCTCTATTCAATAGACTGGGTGCTACCTCATAATGTAAAGACAATACTTTGTCACCATTAATAATTTTCCTGCTTACCAAGACATAAGAAAGGATCACAGTATGAAGATCCACATTTACTCTGAAAGCGCGATCATTCTGGTACCATGAGCAGGTTATCCCACTGATTTTTTTTCACAAACTAGAAGGAGCCAATCACGAGGTGGCCAGCAGGGCAGCAGAGCCCCACTTACAGGAAAACAAACCAGAGGGCTCCAGCAGAGCTCACGAGGGAGAGAAATTTTCTCAGAACAAGTTAACACTGCTACTTAACAGTGACTGACTTATAGTTGTTATTGCTAAGTAACTATCATAAATTTGAAAAGTGATCTATTTCAGTTATAAAAAAGCCTGTATTAAAAAAAAATCAACCACTGAATCCACAAAAAGAAAAGGAGTACTTGTGGCACCTTAGAGACTAACAAATTTATTAGAGCATAAGCTTCCGTGAGCTACTGCTCACTTCATCGGATGCATAGAGTGGAAAATATAGTGGGGAGATTTTATATACACAGAGAACATGAAACAATGGGTGCTACCATATAGACTAATAAGAGTGATCAGTAAAGGTGAGCTATTACCGGGGGGGGGGCGGGGGCGGCTTTTGTAGTGATAATCAAGGTGTGCCATTTCCAGCACTTTACAAGAACAGTGGGAGGGGAAATAAACAAGGTGAAATAGCTTTACTTTGTGTAATGACAAATCCAATCCCAGTCTTTATTCAAGCCTAAGTTAATTGTATCCAGTGTGCAAATTAATTCCAATTCAGCAGTCTCTCCTTGGAGTCTGTTTTTGAAGTTTTTTTTTGTTGAAGAATTGACACTTTTAGGTCTGTAATCCACATCACTCCTTAACGTAAAAATTTAACACTTTCAAAAACTAAACACACAAAGACTTCATTTGGAAACAGTTAAGTATTTGCTTCAGAATATGTCTCACACCAAGCCAAAATCTTTGAAGTTAAGGGGAAAGTTTTCTGCATTCCTTGCTACTTTCACATCATTCACAACACTGTCAATAACAGACCCCACCATCCCATAAAGGCTTACATTTCCACCTTCAACAGCTACACATCCCAAAAGCAACTCACCCCAAATTCAAATTCATACTCTAAGGCAAAGCCTTTATAGCAACTTCTGACATTTGTGTTTCAACAGATTAGCTGAGTTGGAAATGACTCATTCCATACATTTGAGAAGTTATTCTACCTTAACATTACTCAGGTTGTTTGGGTGCCTTAAGTGCATTTCCCTACTTTGACATCGGTGGATTTATTTTTATGCTTAACCTTAACTGGGTTTATAATGCTTGTTTTTGGGGTAACTGCAACCTTCTTCTAATGTTTGCAGTGGTGGAGGAGCAGCTTTGGTCCCAGGATATGAGACAGACAAGGACGGTCAGGTAATATTATTATCCCTCTATTCCGCCCTGGTGAGGCCACAGCTGGAGTATTGTGTCCAGTTTTGGGCCCCCACTACAGAAAGGATGTGGACAAATTGGAGAGTCCAGTGGAAGGCAAGGAAAATTATCAGGGGGCTGGGGCACATGACTTACAAGGAGAGGCTGAGGGAACTGGGCTTGTTTAGTCTGCAGAAGAGAAGAGCGAGGGGGGATTTGATAGCAGCCTTCAACTACCTGAAAGAGGGTTCCAAAGAGGATGGAGCTCGGCTGTTCTCAGTGGTGGCAGATGACTGAACAAGGAGCAATGGTCTCAAGTTGAAGTGGGGGAGGTCTAGGTTGGATATTAGAAAACACTATTGTGACAGGTTCGATCACAGATACCCCCTTGGGACCGTCACCTGATGTGCTGAAATTACTTCTGAGCCCGTTTTCCCTGCCAGCTTGGGATTCCAGAACCCTGCCTTGTTGAGCCAGATATGCTAGTATGCTGCAACACAGACCCAGATCTGGTCCACGCCCCAAAGTTGCAGACTTTAACCGAAAACTGCTCAGGAGGTTTCCAATCTCCAGCACCCAGATACCCAGCTCCCCATGGGATCCAAACCCCAAATAAATCAGTTTTACTCTGTATAAAGCTTAGACTGGGTAAACTCATAAGTTGTCCACCCTCTATAACACTGATAGAGAGAGATGCACAGCTGTTTGTTCCTCAAGGCATTAATCACTTACTCTGGGTTAATTAATAACCAAAAGTGATTTTACTCAGTATAAAAAGTAGGATTTAAGAGATTTCAAGTAATAGACAGAACAAAGTAAGTTACCAAGCACAATCAAACAAAACAAGCAAGTCTAAGCCTAATACATTAAGAAACTGAAATCAGGTAAATCTCACCCTCAGAGATGTTCCAATAAGCTTCTTTCACAGACTAGACTCCTTCCTAGTCTGGGCCCAATCCTTTCAGTCCCTGTTAGTCCCTGTTAGTACAGTCCCTGTTAGTTCCAGCTCAGGTGGTAACTAGGGGATTTCTCATGACTGGCAGCCCCCTTTGTTCTCTTCTACTCCCTTTTATAGCTTTGGCACAAGGCAGGAATCTGGATCCCCACCCCTCCTTCTAAGTGGAAAAACATCAGGTTTAAGATGTTTTTCATTATAGCTTTCGTGACAGCAAAAGCTGTGGAAAGACATTACAACTTTCATTCTAACCCTGCTTTCACTACCATCTTCTCTGAATAAAAGTGTCTACTTACTTTGAACATACGTGGCGCCACGTGAGAGTGTCTCCCAGACCACATCTGCTTAATAAGCTCTGCATATGCTTCTGCAATTTCTCCTCTCATCCCCAGAGGATTGTCATGATTTATTTCAGCCTCATATTTATCTTCCAGGAAATACTCAGTCAGAGGTGGGGTGTTACTCAAACACTGAAATAAAAATAACATTTACAAAGCTCATGTCATTGTCTAGGACAGCCAACTTCTATGAGAAGGAAGTAATGCATGACAATCCAACTTTCATATCAGTACACATGTGAAATGACAAAACCTTTTTAAAAGCTCGTGAAAGTAGACAGAACAAAATATTTAAAAGGAACAATGAAAGTTCTGAGACTACAGCTCTCTCACAATTTAGTAAAACAGAATTGTATTTTATTGAGATACAATGTGAGCAATGCAACTCAGACAACAAAGGCCATATAAAAGGTTCACAATTTTCAGACTTCTCTTCCAAGGGTAAAAAGTGTAAATAGCAGCACTTTGCTAAGGCTATTGCTGAAGTACAGATGGCCCTTTAATGCACAGCTTTAGTTCATGTCACTTACAGTTTAATCAAGAGTTACCTTCTGATCTACAATTTCTCCACCTTGTCTCCAATCTCAGCACTAACATATAGCACTCGGCATGCCTAACAGCAGTAGCAAAGCTAGTCTTTGCTTAGACAGCACACCTAGCTGTTTTCAGGAGTGTGTCTGTTAGAGGTTTTCCACCCCACTGAACTCCCGCAGCCTGAAATGAGGCCTAAAAGATACTATATAATGGTAACTGTACACAGTGGAGTGGAAAATATGAAAATGGAGCACTCTATCCCCGTGACACCTTTCTCCCCACTCCACCTATTAGTATCTATAGCAATTTTCCTCATTTGTGCTGAGACTAAAGATGCATAGAGTCATAGAATATCAGGGTTGGAAGGGACCTCAGGAGGTCATCTAGTCCAACCCTCTGCTCAAAGCAGGACCAATCACCAATTCTTACCCCTGATCCCTAAATGGCCCCCTCAAGGATTGAATTCACAACCCTGGGTTTACCAGGCCATTGCTCAAACCACTGAGCTATCCCTCCCCCCTACATGGGTAGCTGACTACTGTAACACAGTAGAACATCTCTAACCTACACTAATGGGGAAACTCTTGTGTAAAGCACCAGAGGTGGGAGCAATACAGTGATGCTATGGCCCCTGCAAACCAACATGGAGGGTAGGAGTTTGTACCAACCCCTGGGCCTGCCCCACACAATGAATCTTAAGATTACCCATGTACAGTTGGTCTTCCCTCCTCCTAGCTGCTTCACCTCCTCCTCCCTGGTGCGGAGATACTTTCTGCAACCCAGTGACTCTAGGAATCAGCACTGAGCAGGATAGGGAGGCTTTTAGGAAGCTACCCTCCTGCTGTCCTTGACTCTGCCCTCTGCATGTGCCTGTCGCAGAGTGTCCAGGTACAGAGAGGGAGTGCAATTGCTGAACATGGGGAAGTCACATGTACATTTTACCCGACAATGAGATGGAAATAGTGTCAAAAAAGAAAATTGACCGGATTTAAAAACAAAACGCATTATCTTGAATCTCTGCCCCGTCACCTATTACCTGTATGCACTATTTAGGCTAGATGCTCTTCAGGACAGCTAATGGTCTTCTAACAGGCCTATGAAGTGCCTAACACACTTTGGGATGCTATATAAGAGCACTTGACAGGTGTGCAATGAATCCATGGGGATAAAGCATGAAGTAAATTTTTTTCAGCCCTTTACCTGTAACGCAGAGTTCATGAAGCAGGTGTTTCCCAGGTTACTGAGCCCACAGATGCCGGGCTGTGACTGGGAAGTGGACTCCCTGCAGCTGTAGGAGTTGTAGGAGAAGCCAGAGACTCTGGAAGAAGAAAACAACTTTTTTTATCTAGACCACACCAGTCCACATTTCACCCATCATAGTAAAGTTTACGATTTGCATCAAATGCTATTCCTTCTTACTGGTGCTTTTTCATATATGTCTGCTCCTCCATATTTGTTAGTTTTGACATCTCATTTAACTCGGATTACTAGCAGGTCTGATGTATACTGAAACAATGTATCTTCTATCTCTATTCAGGCTGTTTTTCTTTGACCATGTACCTCTAGTACTTTATGACACATTTTCCTCAAGCGTATGGTGCCTACAATCCTTTATTATGTTATACGGACATATGCAGGTGAGCTACTACTTTGCAACAGCTGATGAAAGTTTTACGGTCTCTGCCTGGTGAAGTGGCTATCGCAGCCAAAGAATGGGACACAAAACATCTGAAACGGAGAATAAGCATTGGGGTAAGTGCTAGTTTTCCATGCAGTTGGGCTAGAGTGGGGCAAGTGTTACTTTCAACAACAACTTGAAAATACAAGTAGCCAGGGGCACCAGGAGGACACAAAGCTAGTCAGAGGAAGGAGAGAGGAAAGAAAAGCATTCCTGCTCTTACCCCCTGCCAAGGCTGGAGCTCGTCAGTTCATAGGAGTTATTGCTATCACCATTTGCAATGGCAGAAGAGACAGACATTGAGGAATAAGAATTTACTGATGATGCTGAAGTAGTAAAATTTCTGCTAGTTGCAGTGCTTGATCTGGGAGAAAGGGAAGAAGCAGAAACAACACCACCAGTTTTTGCAAACCCCAGACTCTGGCACTCTTAAAATAAAGGTCACGTCTGATTGAGAATTTACAATCTTAACCTGTTAGTATCGGCATTTCCAAAACACTAGTCTGAGTCAATCTAGGGCATCACAAGTGAAAGGCAGAAACAATAGCCAATCATGAGCAAGAAGAGGCCCCAGATGGCATAAGCACAAGGAAGTTTGGACTGAGTGGAAAGCAGGCTCTAAACAGCCTGGTGCTCTAAGAAATTAAACCCTCTAAAAATAATAAAACCTTTTCTCTAAATAATCAACAGAGTACCAAAACAAAAGACCTCTTTAAAACCCACTCTAACTATGCAGGTAAGAAACCAACAGCAGACTAAGTAGGGTGGGTGCTAGCTAACTTATTGGGCAAAGTACAACATGTAAAACTACATGCTTTGTGGCTAAGTGCAGCACAAGCAGCTTGTAGAACTGAGAGCCCAGGTGCACCATCTTGAGGTCAGAGTGGGTGAACTGGAGGAGCAGAGAGATAGACCGCTTATATGGGGTAGTCAACAGGCGGACCGTAGACCATATTTGGACAGCCAGATGCTTCTGAACAGACCGAGACATCTTTTTATTTACTTATTACTATCATTATTATTGTTATTGTTTTTGTATTTTTTCCTCAGAGTCTGGACCTTGACAATCCCTTGACCAAGAAATTTGGACCTTGACAAAAAATAATTGATTACCATGGTGGATAAAATTCAAATATTTTTTAAAAAATACCAAAAAAATCAGATTTTATTTAAATCAGGTTTTTTCCTCAAAAAAATCTAAAGACAGTTTTAATTAACATACATTATACCTCCAAGATATCTCATCATGGAATAGGGATTATAAATTCTAATTCTATAGTATGAGACAATATATTCATGTAACGTTTAAGAAAAGTTTTGTAAATGAGTTCCAATAGTTCAGTCCAGAAGATACCATCAGAGATGCTTATTTTTGCAGTTCTCAAACTGTGGATTCGTGTCTCCAGAGATAACATGTTTGTTAACAGCAAAAATGTTTTTAAATAAATAAATATAGAGATGAGAAATAACAGACCTCAACCCTATTGTCCCTCTGCAAATTTGTGCACACCAAGCCAATCCCTTACCTCTCTCTAAAATGCAAAGTTTCAAAAAGTTCAATGAATAGAAGATTGCTGGGGGCGGAATAGATCTGGACAAGGAGAAGAAGTCTGAAGATAAGTGTGAGAAGAGAGGGACAGGAAGTAGAAACAAAATTGAAACTGTTTGAGCAGCATATTCCAGAAGTCTTGATGTCTGAGTGTAGCCTTCATTGATTTGAGATCTACCATACCATTCTCTCACTAGAAGGGAAAACCTGTAATGGCAGCAGGCCGGAAAAGAGACCCAGTTTGGGAATATTTTAATGAAGTTCCTCTACCTGTGGGTAAGACAGGCATGCGTGCAAAATGCAAAGAGTGCAACAAAGAAATGCAAGGGCTGTTTGCCCGAATGAAACAACATCATGAGAAGTGTTCCTCCTCAGGAGGAAGCTGCGTTGAAGATGATGAAAGGAACATGTCTGAACATGCAGGATCTTCAGGTTGGTAAACTTTTTTATTTCATACTTCTTTCTTAAGGACTGCCTGTCTTCCTTCTGGACTATTCTTGAATTCTCATATTTGAGCAAAAAATATAGTTGTTACTCTCTGGTACTATCATTTTAGATGCAGTTGTGATAAAAAAATAAATAGCTGAAATAGGCAGATCTTCCGTTTACAATTTCACCTTGAAAGTAGTACTGAGTGTCAATGAATGCAATGAGTAATACTAAATGAGCAGTATGGTAATAATAATTAAATAACTTCATTGACTTATTTTGTTTAGAAGAATCCATCCTCAACATACAGGATTCTGAAGACTATCCGCCTGCAAGATCACCATCATTTTCTATAGTTTCAGAGTTATCTGCCAATGATAGTGTTTCAATCACATCATGTATGTCACAGAGCCACAGTATATCAACTGTAGCAAAAGGGAAAAAAAAATCTCCATCATCCAGAAACAACCATAGATAAGTTTGTGATCAGAACCAGCAGATTACAAAAAGAGGTAATCGATGAAAAAATTGCCCGGTTTGTTTATGCAACAAACTCTCCTTTTCGTATGATTGAGAACCCACACTTCATTAACATGGTTCAGTCATTAAGACCAGGATACAGTCCACCCAACAGAGCAGATGACGCAGGCAAATTGCTGGATAAAGTGTATGAAAGAGAAATTGAGCAGTGTGCAAAAGGTCTAGAGGGTGAAACTGTTAACCTGAGTCTTGATGAGTGGAGCACCGTCCACAATGATCCTGTTGTATGTGCTTCTGTGACAACGGAAGAAGGGAATGTCTTCCTTACAGAAACAACCGATACATCAGGAAATGCACACACAGCAGAATACTTAAAAGAAGTAGCAGTAAAAGCTATAACAAAACTGTGGGGAAAAAATTCAAATGTCTAGTACGCAGCTTGGTCATGCACAATGCTGCAAATGTATCCAAGAAGAGAAGAAATTTATAAGAGAGTCCCAAGCTAACATACGATTGCAGTGCTCATTTGATGCACCTCCTAGCCAAAGACTTTAGTGTTCCAGAAATAAAGGCTAATGTTGTTGAAATTGCAAAATACTTCCATAACAACCACTTTGCAGCAGCTGTTCTGAAAAAAAATGGGAGGAACCAAGCTAAGTCTCCCACATGACGTGCAAGAATGAGGATTTAGAGATGTTATTCACTGAATCTAGGTGTTAGATTTCAGGAAAGCACATCTGGAGAAATTGAGGAATCTAGAGAGGAATGTTTGAGAGGAGGCCTCATCTAGCAGCATAGAAGGTGGCTGACTACAAGCCACCTAAAAAAGAAGACACCAAGAAATAAGAATCAGCTAACTTGGTTGCGTAAAGGAATGATCAAAAAAATCAGTTTAAAAAAGGGCGGTGGTGAGGTAATCAAACAAAACACATCTGAAGCAGTTATAGCTCTGGAAGAAAGATACAGGCAGCACAAATATAAATGAATTAATACTACCAATTCATCAATGGCCAAAGTAATAGTAGGAAGATATTTGGTGCACTAATAAATGAGAATGCTGAAATTAAATGACTCCTTTTTAAGCATGTATTCAACAAGATAGATACCGAACAAAATAAGGAAGACAGACCTTGTGAAATGACTCTTGAGAACAAGCAGGAAAGAGAATGCTGGGAAATATGAACATGTATATATCAGCCAGTCCAGATAACAGCCTGATCCACTGACAGTTTTGAAAAATCATGGGCAACAGGGGAAACACCAAAAGATGGGAGAAAAGCAACTGTGATAACTATCTTGCAAAAAGGTAAAAAGTGTAATCCTACCAATAATTGTGCCATAAATCTAATATAATGAAACGTGCTAGCAGAACAAACATCACTAAAGAAGACCCACAAGCAATAAGCAACACTAAGGATTTATCAAGGGCCTTCTGAAATGATCGATTTAACCTAATCAATCATCTGCTACCTACAGCAAACATGATACGATTACGAAGAATAAATTCTGAGCTTCCTTCTCCCCACTTCCTGAATACTGAGGTAAGGAAGATTATACTGTAGTTCAATCTGTTTGCTAGGGGAATGGACTTCCCTGAGGAATGGACAACTTTCAGAGTAAAATAGCACCCTGCTTGTTAAACTAGTCTACCAGTGCTGACCTGCCTAAGTCTGACTAACACAGCCCTGAGTCTTTACACATTAATGTACATTGTTTTATCAGAAAAGAAACCTTTTGTCCTTGAAGCATTCAATATCCAGAAAGACCCCAGTCTGGCAGATTGGTATCTGATCACCATGAATCCCATATGGGTTTTTAAACAGACAGATTATATAATGAATTTAAGAAACAGGGAAGATAAACAGGTGCCCCCGCAAGAAAATGCTATCAACATCACTTTCCTTTTATTGAATTGTGGACATCAGTTTAACATAACTTTCTGACTCCATTCCCCAGTGAAGAGGAAATGAAATACTGACTTAGATTGAACAGAGACATAGATAATCCCAACAGATATATGCTTCTACTACAGTGTTCTCAACCACCGTTTGTAGCTCTTCAAGAAAACACACTTAATATTTTATAAATTCCACATTATATAATCCAAAATCCTAGGTTTCCATCTATAGTAAAAGCTTTTTTTTTTAATCCGGCATGTTGGGGAAATGGGGGGTAAGTGAAAAATTCCAGTTAACTAAGAGGGAGGGAGTTTGGGTGTGGGGCTGGGGTGCAGGAAGGGGTGCGGGGTGCAAGTTCTAGGAGGGAGTTTGGGAGCTGCAGGGGCAGCACCTGTGGGCAGAGGCAGTGAGCAGAGCCACCGAGCCATGCTTCCACCTAAGAACAGCAGGGACAGGTTGCTGCTTGCAGGGAGCAGCCTGAGGTGAGCATCCCCTGGATCTAGCACCCCAAAACCCCTCCCGTGCCCCAACCCACAGCCCCACGCCCCCTCCCACACTCCAAACCCCTCATGGCCCTTTGCCTAGGAGCAGCAAGGACAAGTTGCCGCTTCCCAGGAGCCACATGGAGCCAGGTAGGGAGCCTGCCTGCCCCGTGCCAGCTGGACAATAAACTGGACTTTTTATGAAGATTAGAAATGCCAAATTTTAGAGCTTTCCAATTGGTACAGGGCCAGATAACACAGCTTTTACGATAATTGGGAGATAGTACCTTCCATCCTGGTAAGCATTTTCACTTAGGTAGTAGTCCGTTTCTAAGTCTAGCTATTGAAGGAGAAAAAGTATGATACTTGGGAATTATATAGAATTCCTTGTAAATTTTTAGAATATTTGATACTTGCCCAAGTATCCAGCACTTAAGACAAACCTATAATTGGCCAAATGGTCGAACCTTCTCTTTTTAGATCAATTGTCAAAGAAAGTTAGAGTCACATAGCTCTGATTTTCCATGGAATCCTCTAAACCTCCTTGACTCCTTTCAGTCATAGAGGACTATGTGATCAATGAACTCCTCTTGTACAAACATAGGAATTCTCCTACCAAGTCAGACCAGCGGTTGGTCCCCTACATCTTGTATTGTTTCCCAGTGGACAGTAACAAGCTTCAGGGGAAAGTGTAAAACTTCTAGAATGAACAATCCTGAGTTAACCTCCTCATAGATCATGTTTCATCCTATTCAGTGAAAGTTAGTGGTTGACTTTTGCTATGAAGCACGATGGTTTATACTATCTGGAGGATGGTGTAGATTGCACTCTCAGCAAATTTGCGGATGATACTAAACTGGGAGGAGTGGTAGATACGCTGGAGGGGAGGGATAGGATACAGAAGGACCTAGACAAATTGGAGGATTGGGCCAAAAGAAATCTGATGAGGTTTAATAAGGATAAGTGCAGGGTCCTGCACTTAGGACGGAAGAATCCAATGCACCGCTACAGACTAGGGACCGAATGGCTAGGCAGCAGTTCTGCGGAAAAGGACCTAGGGGTGACAGTGGATGAGAAGCTGGATATGAGTCAGCAGTGTGCCCTTGTTGCCAAGAAGGCCAATGGCATTTTGGGATGTATAAGTAGGGGCATAGCCAGCAGATCGAGGGACGTGATCGTTCCCCTCTATTCGACATTGGTGAGGCCTCATCTGGAGTACTGTGTCCAGTTTTGGGCCCCACACTACAAGAAGGATGTGGATAAATTGGAGAGAGTCCAGCGAAGGGCAACAAAAATGATTAGGGGTCTAGAACACATGACTTATGAGGAGAGGCTGAGGGAGCTGGGATTGTTTAGTCTGCAGAAGAGAAGAATCAGGGGGGGATTTGATAGCTGCTTTCAACTACCTGAAAGGGGGTTCCAAAGAGGATGGCTCTAGACTGTTCTCAGTGGTAGCAGATGACAGAACAAGGAGTAATGGTCTCAAGTTGCAGTGGGGGAGGTTTAGATTGGATATTAGGAAAAACTTTTTCACTATGAGAGTGGTGAAACACTGGAATACGTTACCTAGGGAGGTGGTAGAATCTCCTTCCTTAGAGGTTTTTAAGGTCAGGCTTGACAAAGCCCTGGCTGGGATGATTTAACTGGGAATTGGTCCTGCTTCGAGCAGGGGGTTGGACTAGATGACCTTCTGGGGTCCCTTCCAACCCTGATATTCTATGATCTACACAATTTGAAGCATGATTTATACTACTTATACAATTTTAATCTTATGAACTGCAAATGTGGATGTTGTCATGATCCATATAAATATCTAGGGACATTTTTTCAAAAGAATAAGTCACTTAAAAGTATAGATCCCATTATAAATCAACTTTTGAAAATTGAAGCCCTAGTCTTTTTAATCTTACTAAGCTGTTAGCTTCAATAAAATCTCATGGCAGCGAGTTCCATGTTAACCATGTGTTTTGTAGAAAAGCATTCCCTTTGTCACCATTAAGTTTGCTGCCTTTCTATTTTACTGGAAGTCACCTTGTTCTTGCACTACAAGAAAAAAAAATAGTGCACATACATTTTAAACTTCAATTTCATTCTATAGCATTAATTATTCTATATATTTATGTCAAGGCCCTTCTTATTCACCTCCTCTCTAAGTTAAAAAATTCTAATCTTTGTAGTCTCTCTTTATGCAAAAGCCTTCCCAGGCTTCCAATCATGTTGTCTGCTCTTCTCTGGACCTTTTCCATTTCTATTATATCCTTTTTGATTGGGAGATGACTAGAATTGAACACAGAATGGAATAAAATACTCAGTATTAGTATCTGTTAATACACCATGACACCTTGTTTGTTTTTTTACCACCACTGCACAAATATTTTCATTATGTAGTTCACACTGCAAAAAAATCAACATAGTTTTACCAATGTAATCCTCGGTTTAGACAGTGCTATGTCAGCAGGAGAGATACTGTCGCCTCTCAGAGAGGCAAATCAACGCCAACAGGAGAGCTCTCTCCAATCAGCATAGAGAGTCTTCATTAAAGTGCTAGAGCGGTGCAGTTGTGCCAATGCAATGTCTTAAGCATAGACAGGCCATCAGTCTTTGCATCTTTTAAAACCGTAAATGCAACTAAAGAAGCACCAGGCATGTTTTAAAACTTAAAAAATAATGCTTAGCACAGATAGTACTTAGCATCTTCTAAGCATGGTACAGATATGAGCTAATTAATCCTCATGTCACCTATTTGAGATCACACTTTGTTGCCTATCCCCTTTTTAGGGCCCAATACCACAGAGAGTCAGTGACAGGGCCAAGGCTAGAACTAGAGAATGCTAATGTTCTTGCTTTAATCCCACATTCAATTGATCAGGACATGCTAACCTCTTCTCTTTAAAGAAATTAAGAAAATAATAGCCTTTAACAGGGCTTCTCTATGAGGCAACCGGTCACTGGAATTAGAGAGTTGAGCAAGACAGTGAAACAAAAGTGAGAAGACAAGAATGGAGAGGATGCTTACTTTGCAGGAAGAGACTGCCTGGGCCATGTACCATCTTCATTCTTCACTTCTATTAACAGCACCTGAAGATGAAATGCAGACAGTAGGGCAAGGCAAAAACAAACTTATTTTACATTCTATAAAATGACTCTTAAATGATGTTCTCTGAAATATTGTTTAACATCTTTTGTTTTCTATTAAATGTATATAATACTTCCATTGCAGGGTCTCTTTACTGATAGATTCTCTTCTTGTGCATAGTACAGCAAAATATTTTCATAGACAAGCTACTTGCTCAAGGAAAACCATGTGTTAGCTTACCAGGCATTTCAATACCATGATTATTAGAGAATTCTGAGCATCTTACCTGACCGTGATAGAGCCCTGCATCTTGTACAGTGCTGTCCAGGTTGCTGACCTGCTCATAGGCGTTACTCATGTACCTGCTCCATAACCTAGTTTCCTTTTCACTGAGGATATTAAACAGCTGTCGCATTTCCTTCTCAATGGTAGCTGTTTAGGGGAGAAAATAATATAATAAACTTCTGAAATGCTTAAATATTTCTAGAAAGAGCTGACCAACCAGAGATACATTAAAGGCATATGTCCCTACTTTATCAATGCCCCAGTGGTAAAAGATAGGTCTCATAATCCAGTAGTGTGACCATAATTAGAGCTGAATATGTCTACTTATTAAAACCTTTTATTTTCATACACATTCGTCTGTCAGAAATGTTCCTTTTTGGCTGGGCTGCGAGCAAGCTTGAGAAGTTTGCCCAACAAGTATCTTTTCTGAAATGCTAGAAGCACCTGAAAATTGGAGTTTAAAAAGGAAGTGTGCTCAGATATTACTATAAGATCCCACTACTGGCAACTATCAGCCAAGCACATCTATGGATCACATTATAGTCTACATGCAGCATCTTAAAAGGCGGGGAGGGGGGGAGCGCATACGATCATGCAGTGATGTAGGGTATAGGACCAATCTTCAGGTAAAATGAACGAGCAGGGGAAACTGGAGGAAGTATGATTAAAATATTCCAGCAGATAAAGCCCAAAGAGCCACATCAGTGACAGAATGTACAACAGAAGTCCTGGAAACATTTAGACACAGAACTGTTTCAAACAACGGCACGGCCATTTGCTATGGAAGTGGACAGAAGACAATGATAAGCTCTGATTACCCTTTAACCTCATCCCCACACCCGCATTTACAGGTCTGCTGAGGCCTAACTTTTAAGCCCACCTGGCCTCAAAGGGTCAAGCAGTTTTCCAACCCAACCTAACACAGCCCATAAAGTTGGTACGTGGTGGTGGCTGCGTACCAATTCCTGACACCCCTTCTGCACTGTATGTGTGCTCAGAGCAAGATGCACTGAGAATCTGCAGCACACTCTGTAGAGCATACAAAGCAAAGTGAGGAATAGGGCATGCAGCCACCACTGTGCTGACACGAGAGGCATGAGAAGGTCATCAGAGGCAACCCAACCTAAACCCAAATCTTGTAGTCATGTAGCAACAGGCTGAAGGGCTCTACCCCCAATTACTGCTATTAAATTAGGTGTTTTTAAACAGTCAGTTCAAAGCTGCAGGTATCACATAGCTACTTACCGATGGTGTCTGCTTTGCTGAAATGGCAGGTCAACACATTGGTAGGATCACTATTTTCACACAGCTTCAGTTCGAGGAGATAAACTTCTACTTTACAGTGCTTCACAAACAGACCGTACTCCACCACCTATAAACAAAAGGCTGCCCCTGAAGCAGGCATGATATTGACCACCCCCACATAAGTGGGGTGACAATCATTCTTAAAGGGCCCTCCACAACCTGGACTGGCTGCCTAAACAGTGATTTACAGTTTTAAATTGAGTGGGAGAAGGAGTGGTCTGACTCCAAAACTGGGAGCTGGGAATTCATGAGTTTAATCCCAGCTCTGCCCCTGACTTGTTGTGTGACCTAGATCAACACATTCAACTTCTCTATCATCATTTTCCCATCTGTAACACACAGACTACTACTTTTTTCTCCCATGGGAAAGTTCTGAAACTTAATTATAGCAGCTGAGTAGCAGCACCAACTAGTTAAGGTTGCAAAAAACAATTTCTATTGCAACTCCTAGGTTTCATGCAGAGAATTCCAAAAGCATTTACCTTTTGTGCCTGGTCTCTGCCCAAAGGCAATTTCCCACCCCCAGAACATTGGAACAAAATACCACCCAATATTCTGAGTTACAAGAAGGAAGAAACAAACCATTTTCCAACACAGTATGAATTCATGACTACATTCCCGCCCCCACTCAAACAAAAAAAAATCAATCAACGATGGCACAAAAGTGGCTGAAATGTCAAGTATGTACTGGAACATAAGTAATCCTGTTTCATTTGGTAAACTTAACAAAAATTGGTTTCAAAATGAAGGGTTCAAAATTTCCAGATGTGAAACTGCACATGTGCAGTAACTCTTTCCATTCAGCTATCATCCACACTCATAAAAAGGTATAGTGCACAGGGACTTAACTGTGCAGCTATGTACCACGTGCCATGTTACTTCCGATTAAGGAGCAGAGCTACAGAGGTGGAAAATAGCAGTGTGTGGAGTCAATGTTAGCTTCACCAGTACACAGGGCAGCTTATAAATCTTAGTAGTGACTATTCATATTAGAGTAGCACCCAGAGGTCCCAACTGAAATTTGGAACCCATTGGGCTGGGAGGAGGTCAAGCCAAGTCTTACAGATATTTTCTTTGAGAGACACAGGCAAGAAGTGTGGAAGGGGTGATGAAGTGGCAATGTAGGATTCAATAAGGGAGGTAAAGTAGATCTGTGGATAAACACACAGCAGAAAGAGTGCAGCTATAGCAGACAAGGTCAGCACAGTCACAAGACTTCCAGAGACTCCACAGCAAGAGAACAAGAAGGCTACAAGCAGAGGCTGGGGGTGAGCCATTGCTTGGTAATCAGACTCAAAGCTCAAAGAAAGAGGGAAAGAGGGGCTGGAAATGGCAGGATTGAGAGAGAAGAAGCCCAACAAACCTGCCAACAGACTTCAGAAGATGACTCAGGGTGAGAGAAGCCATCATATGACAGAGTGGATGCAGTAGCAGTGTCAGATGAGATCCTGGTCTTGGTGAGGACCAGGAGCCAGAGAGCAAGAGATGATGAAGTAATGGTTGGCAGTGATATATACTATGTGGGTCAGAGGGGTGGGGTAAGTAGGGCAATCAGAGAAGGTAAAGCTGGTGGGAAGGAGAAGGGAGGGGGAGATGGTGGGAGTGGATGTCTATCCTAGGCTCCTGATTTCCTTCGATTTGTTAAGGTATCTAAATGATAACTGCCTCTCTTGCTACAGAGTGAGAGGGGCATCATCATAGTACAATAGGGATGGGGGGGGGGGTCCTGAAACACTCTGGAAAGTTCCATCAAGTTTTAAAGAGATTGTATATGTAGCAGCAAGAGCAATTTTTCTGCCACAGACAGAGTGCAATCCTTTGAAAGATGGTAGAGAAGAACTGTGTCATATGTTTGAGTGCTGTTGGGACCACTGTGGAAGGACAGTAAAAATGCTGTGGCTAATGGATCTTGGTTAGGCTAGCAAAGAAAGTCAAAGCTGGACGCTGAGCTGACCAGTAGAAGAAAAGTCTCTCAGCTTATTGACGTTGTGCACAGGTAAATACCCAGAGAAGAATTCTCCCTTTCAAAAATTTTGCATTGAAGGAAGTAGGATGTGCGTACAAGGCTGCATGAGCAACATTAACACTGGCATTTATTGATACTTTGTAGCATATATGTAGGGTTTTTGTTTACTTAGGGTTCTATGTATATAGAACTATACATAACACTGCAAAATGAAACAGCTTGTCTGCTTAGGGCACGACACTGTACTTGCAACATGCTAAGATTAAAAAGCCTGTGTGGCATTAAACTAACTGAGCTTCTCCCAAATTAAGAAAGCGGCTAGAACTAACAGACTTTAAGCAATCTTGGTAGTCTCCATTCAACCTCACAGAAGCCAAGAAATGTGATATTAAATCCATAAGTTACTTGCTTTAAAGAGAAAAAACAAACAAGTGAAGACACCTGAAAAGACTTTTCTGTAACATTTTATTAATAAAGCAAGAACGCAAATTAAAAATCCTTATGAAAATAATGAACCGGTCAAACATACTAGAAAGATTTTTTGTTTTGCTTTCTTAAGAATAAAAAGGCACTTGCCACAAGTGTTCAGTTGCTTTTTTGACTGTATGGGAAATAGGAAAGATCTATTTACTGATCTAGTCTCTGACTTCTATAGTTCTGATGTTTTTAATTAAGCAGAAGGAAAAAGAGGTCGTGCTCAGAGACGGAACTTTTTAAAAAGTTTTAGTTCAAGTCATGGATTCTTATTACAGTAGACACCAAATAAAGCTAGTCTCCATAATGTAACAGTTTAAAGATACCAGATAGAAGCAGTTATGTAGTAAACTCCAAACTCATTTTCAGTAAGATTTTGGTAGAAAGAAACTTGGCTTGTGCTGTTGGATCAAAACCTAAAGACAACATACATCACTTTAGTGAGAATAAAGTATAGCCTTAAACTGTGCTGATGTGCATATTTTCCAAGTGTGAAATACAATGGAGGATGTTGACATATAAAACCTCTTCACTAGTCTAACACTAACTTTTAACAGGAAGCCCCAAAGCCTGATTACAAATATCGTAAGAATGACCAGACCACCATCTAGTCCATTATGTCTAGATCAGATCAATCGTTCATTTAGTCACTATGCCCATCTATGACCACAGCCAAATACTGGATCCCTCAAAGGATGGTGCAAGAAAACCTATTTTGGAAAATTATGGAAACTAAGCTGCATGAAGGGAAGATTTCTTCGTAACAGCTAATCAGCTACATATATAACCTGAAGCATGATTTATAGCCTGTTTTTTGTGCTATACTGTATTATCCACAAATGTCTAATCCTTGAGTCCAAATAAGCTCTTAAGTCTCAGTGGTATCTTGTGGAAATGAGTTCCAGATGACATCTGACCAGTTTATATGCAAACAGTTGAAGCCACATATTTAGTTTTACTAGTAGCTGAAAGCCCATGCTGTCACACGCACGTAATTCATAAAGTCACATGTGTAAAAGAGCCAAAAATAAATGAGAACGTAAAAATTGGACAATAACTGACCACGAATCTGAGTGATGACTGAACCTGGTGATATTCTAAACAAAAAAAGATCTCAACCACATGTGTAGCTCTTTCCATCACTTAACTCTGACTCAGATATTCTAGGCTTCAGAGCAATGTTTGAGATTGCGCACGCTGGTCGTGTTGATCGGGGGGGGGGGGCACCTTGGTTGGTTATGCTGAGAGATCTTTGTTGATCTGTGCAAATGCATAGGTGGGCAGTTAGGCCAAGTGATCCATCACCTGTGCAGTCTACTTTCACACAACTAATGAAACTGTTGCACACAAACTAGCTGTACAGTAAGGGTGGAAACTGGTTGTGTTACCTCTGAAATCACAAAAATCTAGAACAGTTGGCATGGACCTAGATACAAGCCTTGGTGTGCACAGATGTAATTTATAAAGCCAAAATGGCTGAGAAATTAAAACTGGACAGTAACAGACCTCAAATCCCAGCAATTATTCAAGCTAGTGCTATTCTGAACAAAAAGAGCTCTCAACCATGCCTGTAGCCACTCCCATCACTTCATGCTGCCATTAAGGCTTCCAACTGACACAAAGTGATGTTCCTGAAATCTTATTATACAACTTACTCATTTGCCTCTGAGCTCTTCATAACAGTGCCCTCAATAACCCTTCCCTGATCTGGAGGCTTGCAGTATAACCCTACTAGAATATTTGTTTTTATGACCTGCAATTTAAATTCAAACAAGTGTACTGTGTAGTTTTCTCCATTCAGGAATTTTCATTAACTAGGTGAATCTTTCTGGTATAGCGCTATTCCTCACCTCTATTAACTAATATTTTTTTCCTGTGTAATTGGGTATTACAACAGCCCATTCATTTGTCATTCCACCATATTTCAGTAGTTTCTATTTTGTCAAGATCCTCTTTCATTACCAGGGTAGTATAAGTGGACAACAAGAACTTGATCTAACTGCAAGCTAGGACCTATAAAAATCTATTCTTGCTAAATTTGGACCATAAGAGTCTTGCAGTTGGGAGAAATGCATACTATATATAAATTTCCCCCGTCCAATAATTATGATGCTGAAATAATTTTTCCATTACAAGAAACCACAAACCTCTCACTTTTACACTGCAAGTAGAAATAAAGAAACTAAGTATGGAATCCACCAGCGTTCAAAGAAAGGAGAGAATCCTGAGTAGTTTAAGGAGGTGGGAACTTTGATGCTCTCTGAAGCACCTGTGAATTTCCCAGTATGCAAAATTTCTAGGTTGCCCTACAAAGGTGTAAGTGCCACTCATCAATATGGAGGACCTTTAAATAAAGGAACCTTGCTTTCTCATCCACCCTTTCCTGGCTTTTGAATATATACACTGAATATTGGTGCAAAATTTTTACTTCAGTGTTTTTAAAAAAAACCTGACACTTGAGAGTGTTAATTCTAAAACCATTCTTTGTTTTCAATGCAACCTTTGTTGTAGCCTCTAGGTTTAAGGTATTGGAGGTTGATTTTTTTTTTTAAAAAAAACATCAATGTTGCTTATTAAAATCAGTGACTCCCATAACTCAAGCTTTTTTTTTTTTTTTTTTTTAAAGTGAAGCTCAACAGAGCCATTTTCTTCACAAGGCACTGTGCTCTGAAATGTTTTCTTGTACTAGTTACCTGTGCACAATGTTCATTCAGGAAAGTTCAAAAGTCGACAATCTTTTAGAACTTTCACTAAAGCAGCAAATAAGCCTGTATGGCATTTATGCCCTTCCTCATGTTTAAATAAAAACAGAATAATGTAGGGGGTAGAATTTCATCAAACCTTGTGGCAAGTCCCTGAATCTCCTATTTTAATGGCAAAGCATCTTTGTCTGGTATCTCCTTCTGCCCAAGAAGATCCTCAACTCAGAGGCAACAGGCTGGGATTTAGGGTAGCCCAAATAAAACGTTCACACTCTTCTGTTATGAAGGAAATTTAACACCACCACTACTCCCAACCCCCATTTTTAGCTCTGTACAACGTGGGCAAACAATGCATTCATTGTCACATGGAGCCAAATATGCTATTCTCCTACCAATCACTAAGGTAAAGAACGTTATACAGGATGAACCTCTTCACTCCCCACAACAGAAGCCACTACTTGAGGAACTTATAATACCCATCTTTCCAACTTATCATCCCACTTGTGACAGTGGGATCACTACCTGCCAAACCAGTGGGCAGGCCCACATGCGATCACATTTTGGGTTACAGTTAAACCAGCTACTTCTGGAGAATAACTTCTTGTGCCTCATTTAACTCACACTAGCACCACAAATCTGACAAATTTAGATGGTGTTTCAGATAATGAAGGTGGCTAAACTGCCCAGCAGATTATGAAACAAGAGTCTCAGATTCATGCACACTTACTTTTCTTACTATAGGTTGCTGCCCCTCTACACAGCCATACCAGTTCACTAGCTTATTCCAGGCTTCAGTGGGAACCAACACATAATCCAGCTCATCAATGAGGTGTTCTTTTAAGGTCTGTCTTTCTGGATCTAAAAAGGAAGAGAGAAAAAAAAAAGTGAGATTTGAGAAGTGGGACAAACTAGAAGTTCTTCATGTTTGAAGGTGTTCCAGACATTCTATAAAATGTAAGATCTTCAAGACATGCAAATCAAAATGTTCTTAACCCTTTGGATGTTGGCTAACATGGTGAAGTTTCATACTGGAAGCTATGAAAGGTAGAATCTCGGGACAAATTCTGTATTAATTCATTAAATGTCAGCATTGTGTTTACTGCTGAACAAGACATGGTCCTCTCCCAAGAGTCCTCCTTACTCTGGCAGACTCAGAAAATAACTGAAGTATAAATGAAAAAGTTAATTAAAATCCATTATTTAAATGGAGGCTTTCCACTGGGTGATTTAAATTGCTCTGATTAAATCAAACTGTCCCAGCTTGGCATTGTGTCTTAGGATCTGGTTGTCAATTAAAGGAAGAAAATAAGTTATGCAAGCCCTGGGAAATGTCATTACAAAAACAGAGGCAACAGGATCCCAGACAATCTTAATTGCCACAACAGCCACTTCAGAGACCTTAAGTGCCACATGAGATCTAAATGCTGAACAATCTCCCCCTGCCAGTCTGTGACAGTGCTGAACCAAATTCTGAAGAAAATGATATTTCTATGGCTTTATCAACCATAACATGACATAGTTAACTTTCATTGTTATTAAAATAATTCCAAAAATGCAATGCAGAATGAACACAGAACTAGCCTATATTATTCATCTCTGCTACAGAGGATAGTTCTCTTGTGAAGCTTAATAGCCATGACAGGATGGGAGCCTTTGTATTATGTGGCCAGCTGAGAAAGTGGAAGCCAAGAAAACCAAACAATAAGAAGGGCTGAAGCACTATCTTGGTAGAATTTGGGATGGGACGTAAGATTCTTGGGAGCTCCACATAGCATGGAAAGGGGGTTGCTATGAGGCTCCCAAGACACACAGGGTAAGTCCTCTTACAGCACAGGACATGCACGATATATCTTGATTTTAGTAAGGCTTCTGACACAGTCCCAAATGACAATATCATAAGCAAACTAGGGAAATGTGGTCTAGATGAAATTACTATAAGGTGGATTCATAACAGTATGAAAGACCATATTCAAAAAAGAGTAGTTATCAATGGTTTGCTGCCAAACTAGGAGGGTGTATCTAGTGGAGTCCTGCAGCGATCAGTCCTGCATCCGGTACTATCCAGTGTTTTCACTGATGACATGAATAATGGAGTGGAGATTGTGCTTATAAATTTTGTGGATGGTACCAAACTGGGAGGGGTTGGCAGCACTTTGGAGGCCAGGATTAGAATTCAAAACGACCTTGACAAATTAAAGAATTGGACTGAAATCAACAAGATGACATTCTATAAAGTGTGAAGTACTACACTTAGAAAGGAAAAATCAAATGCATAATTAAAAAATGGGTTACAACTGGCTAGATGGTAGCCAAAAAGGTGCTGAAAAGAACTGGCTGATGTAGTGGATCATAAATTGAATATGAGACAATGTGATACAGCTGTGAAAAAGGCTAATATTCTGGGGTATATTAACAGGAGAGTTGTATGTAAGACACAGGAGATAACTGTCCTACTCTATGTGGCACTAGTGAGCCTCAGCTAGAGCACTGTGTCCAATTCTGAGCACACACTTTAAGAAAGATGGGCATAAATTAGAGAGAATCCAGAGGAGAGCAACAAAAATGATAAAAGAAAACCTGACCTATGATGAAAGGTTTAAAAAAAGGGGGGGGTATGTTTAGTCTGGGGGGGGGGAGGGGAGAGAGAGAGATTAGGGACCTCATAATCTTCAAATATGTGAAGGGCTGTTATAAAGAGGATGGTGATCAATTGTTCTCCATGTCCACTGAAGGTAGGACAAAGTAATGGGCTGAATCTACAGCAAGTGAGATTTAGGTGTTAGTTAAGTTCTGAAATAGATGTCCAAGGAAGTTTGTGAGATCCCCATCATTGGAGGCTTTTAAGCACAGGTTGGACAAACAGCTAACAGGGATGATCTAGGTTTACTTGGGCCGGCCTCAGGACAGGGTCCTGACCTGTGGAAGTCTCTTACAGACCTATATTTCTACGATTCCAAGAAATTGGCAAGTAGACAAGCTGAGGAGTTGGAAAATGGTTATTTGCAGATTTATTATGGAGCAGCTGCTAGTTGGACCATAATTAAGGTTGTGACATTGCTGTTTAAAGCTGAATTTTCAACATGCTCTAAAACCCACATGCACAATCAGATCTTTCCCTACAGGGATGCCAAGAGGAACTGGAAACATTACAGTACCTTTCCCAGCCTTAACAAGAACGACTTTTTTGGGGAGCCCTCCAATTCAGGATTCCTATTCACATGTCCCAACAAACCTTTAACATGCTCTGTATAATACCACTTATTTGTCAAATACTTGTTGTGGTTTGGATGAGATCACATTGTGCTAGAAGACTGAGGGAAGAGTAATAAAGTACTATGATGTTCCAAAGGAACACTAAACTGCAGGGAGACCTAAACTGAGCATTTCCTGGTTCTCCCCCTCCCTTACAACACTTGGGTTTTGCATTTTGAGGACCCATGTTTTGGAAGAAGAAGGCAGTACCTGTGTGCTGCAGAAACATTAACCAAGTTTTTATGGCAAAAAAGTTTATGTAACAGTAGGACAGAAAAATTATACAATTTGCACCACCACAAAAATTATTCACACACTACATCTACAGACAATTATCAGCTGCATCTATAGACAACCAAGCAGGCATTGCAGAAAAGAAGCAGTGTTACCACTGGTTTCCACTCAGCCACTGACCGTATTTTCTAATTAATTTTTTGTATGTTCATTTTCCCAAACACTTATCAAGGCACTGCAAGAAGTTAACTACGTTCCAAACACAGATCCAGGAGAACTGGTTTGTGAGTCAGATCAAACTCAGCACATAAAACCATCACAAACTAACTCTCTCAGAAGTTTAGAATTGAGCTTCACCCAGAAGGATCGACTTTAAGGGGGAGAGAATTCCAAACTCGCAGTCCCTCAGTGGAAAAGACAGCCTCATTGCTGTTCCATAAATGTTTGATGCACAGGAAAACCAAGAGTCTCTTTTCTAGGGCCAGGGAGTCCAGATATATCTTGCTAATGACCTGGTAGGGTGCCTGCCACAGCAATCTCCACGCCAGTCAATTGACAAAGCGGCACTAACAGTGGCTCCAAAGTAGATTGCACATTCTATGTTACATACTATGGTGTCAAGCACTCAAAGTAGCATCACAGGAGCAAGAGCATAAAGAGTGCATTATATCACCTGACAGAAGATCAGCCAGAATTCAAAAGCCCCTTATCCCCTGCACCAGACACACTAGCCTAGATCTGGTACTTGGGAACACAAAGAGAACTTTACAGCATAATATTTTGTTCATTTTTCAGAACATTAAGTCTGAAAAGAAAGTTTCCTAGAGTTATCAGAGTTCTGTATCAGGCTAGGAGATCATTCAGACGGATCCAACTTTCAAAACTCAAATTGGACACACATTTCTGCTTCCAGGTGCAATTTCTGAAAGTTTTCTATTTCAGTTTCTATTTACAGTAAAATTGACTGTCTCCAGACATTGACAGAATTTCATGTCAGTGTGTGGGAGGGAAGGAAGTAACTGCAAGATAGGGTGTGGAGAAAAGGTAGAAGAAGATTATAAAAGTTTCCAGCCTTCTCAGAAAACAGAAATTATTCAGCCTTAACTTCACTCATCTGTGCTCAACCTGAAATGCTGTTCCGGCACATCACAATCAGAGCCCAGTCTGGGCAAACCCATTATTGATATTCCATTATTTCATGCTCCCTCTGGACTATTCACTGTGCCCCTCAGAAAGGTTAGTGGGCTTTGTTTTTGTGAAGGCAGTGAATGAGAAGAGAAGCTAAATTTCAGACTTTTTCAGTCAGATGGTATAAGAGCTAAAGGACACACTTTCAAAAACTGCTAAGAGCACCTGGATTCTCCTTCTCTGCTAGACACAAATAGCTGCCCAGCTATTCAGTGCACCATAACTGCATGCACTTTACCTGCAAAGAGTCCAGAGTTATCGATGGGTCCAGGAAACAGGTTAGGCTCACCCACGTTGTACATGTCCCAGCTGTCAAAACCCACATACTTCTTCCACTGTTTGAACCACCGACTGTCAATCAAATACCTGGAACACAGTTTGAACAGCAAGATGTCAGGAGCAGCTTTCAGCTTGTACCAGCCAAAGCACATACTACAACGTCACTCTCGCTGGAGGAGGAATAGATGGTGCAAGTGCATAGGAAACCTTGCAGCTAAGAAAGCCCTAGGAGCAGAGGCCACTCTTGCCTAAGGCAACCCCACTGCATAGGGTAGCAGATTATGTTCATGGATGGGAGGCCTATCAACAATGCAGAACAGACCCTAATGCTGGCCAGGCCTCTTGTCCTGCTCTGTGTAGTGCTGCATGCCAGCCAGGTCCCACTCTGCCTTGTACCCAACCCTTACCTACCACTGGCTACTGAAACCACAAGAGCAGCTTGTCTCAGAGCCCTCTCAGTGGCAGGGACTGGCTAGATCCAAGACACAACAGACGCATCACCCTAAGTCCAAGGGCTTGCCAGCAGGGAAGGAAAAGGACAGGTTGGGAGGCAGGAGCTCTGTGAACAGAGGGCTGGAGGGGGGAGGATAGTATAGTAAAAATAAAAATGAATACACACTTGAGTATTTTAACAAATGAGCAGCAGTATGACCTTGTGATCAAACTAGACGACTAGCTAAGTAGTTGGGTCAACAGAGCCCTGTTCCCAGCCTTGACTCACTGTGCAATCTTGGGAAAACCATTGAGGCAAACATGTCCAAAATGTCCACTAACCTGGGAGGGCCTCCGTTTTTTGTTGGTCATCTTGGGTCACCTATTGCCAGGTTTTTGGAAGTGCTGAAGACTCACAACTCCAACTGACTTCAGCAGGAGTTTCTGATGCCCAGCCCCAGTAAGTAGGCCACCCAAAAATCAAGGCACTCTTGATGAATAGACACTTTTGAATATTCAGGTCTCAACCGCTTTTTGCCTCAGCTTCTCAGTTTGTAAAATTTTGATAGTAATACCTCCCTCCTATTATAATCACTTTGAGAATCACCGATAAAAGGTGCTATTTCATATAGTACCTTGTAAACAGATCATCTTTAATTCATGTAGTGTTAGTTATGGTTCCTTCTCTTCATTAATATCTGTATAAACTTGACATAAACTGGATAGGTAGATTAATGAGAAACTACTGATTTTTATTGTTGGACACCACCACAGGCTTTGAGTGCTACAAGCCTGGCAAGCAACTGTAGTTTCATCTTCAGTGCTCTGGATCACTCCAAACTCCCACTAATATCAATACCGGGCCTCAAATGTAAAAGCAAGGGGCATGGGACAAGCTTTTCAGATCAGATCTCATATTTGTCTGAAAAGTACTTCCCATGCTTTCAGTACTATATATAGTAAATAAATAAGATGAAAATGTATTGCTATGGAAACAAAGTAGATAAATTCTTTTTTAAAAACTGAAGATGTAAAAACTGGCAGAGAGATAAAAACAAAGACAGCAAAGTATTAAAGACACATTTGAACTTCCCATATGGAAGGATAGCAACAGAAATTTCTCATTTAGACTACATATTCCCTTTTGGAAGGGAAATAATTGGCATTTACATGTTTCAGAGTAACAGCCGTGTTAGTCTGTATTCGCAAAAAGAAAAGGAGTACTTGTGGCACCTTAGAGACTAACCAATTTATTTGAGCATGAGCTTTCGTGAGCTACAGCATCCGATGTATCCGATGAAGTGAGCTGTAGCTCACGAAAGCTCATGCTCAAATAAACTGGTTAGTCTCTAAGGTGCCACAAGTACTCCTTTTCTTTTTGCATTTACATGTTGTATCTCCTATGAGTTTCTCATTTTTCCTTTTTTTCCTCGCTCAGTAGAACAAAGTTTCCACAATGATTTACATACCAGGTTTATATTTCAAGTTTTTCTAATGGTGTGATTTTATTTTAAATGTTTTTGGGATTTTTGTTTTTGTTTAACCTACCAGTGACATCACTCCCCACAATGGAGCAAGTATCTGTAAGCAGCATCTGAACTCACCCCTGAAATCTAGTGGTGAACGGGGGGGCAGGACTGAGACCAAGGAGCAGGCCATATTGGCACAAACACACCTACTCTGCCTAGGTAACCGGCAGACAGACCTGCTTTGGTCCCTTTGGCATTTCTGTTTTGGGTTAAGATTCACTTTACTATTGAATGCAAAAGTAATGAAATATTATTATTTGAGCAAAGGGCAGCATAGCTATACATACCATGCCCTAATTGAGGGAGTCATCCTAATATCAAGTCAACTTGCTAAGCAGGGGATAATGATTCCATACCCAAGTTAAAAGGCAGAGGGAGTGCAGACAAATGTTCCTACTTGGTGGTATGGACTCTGTTTAACAAGACATTTACCATTTGACCATCCCCTCCAGTGTTTAAAGACAGAGCTGATCAGACTCAATTTAGAGTGCTTGTTTCTGCTCAGTAATTAATTGAGCTGAAATCACTGATATGTTGATCTAAGGGAAGCTGGTCTTAGACTGGTGTGGAGACAGTATTACCATGAAAAGACAGCACAAACAGGCAGCAGCAGAGAGGCTCCCAGTTAAATCACTAAGAACTGGGCTGACAGAACCACAGAATCACAGCTAGAGCCAGTAGTGAGCAATGGCCCTCTGCACAAAGAATCCCACCCAAAAGCAGGGGATTGCATCTACACTGAAGCACTGCAGCAGGGCAGGTGTGCGGCGGTAGCATTTTAAGGATAAACAAACTCTGAGTGTTATGAAGTCCTGAAAAGTTGAATAAGCAGATTTAAGTGTTACACGTTTAACGAGGGGACCCACATTAGAAACCTGCACTAGGACCCATGTTTCTGTTGCTCCGCCACTGGTGACTCAGCCACTTTCAGCAGGCAGAACAAGGGCCCACACGCACGTGATGCCTCCCAGGAGCCGAGACTCGCCTTACTGAGCCACCGGCTCCACTGTTACAGCAGGGAACGGAGACCCAGACACCAGGGCAAGAGGCCTAAAAGCGCCTCCAGCTCCGCTCCCCACCCCCACCCCACGACCCGACCCGGCTCCGCTCCGCTCCCCCCTCTCAAGCACACCTAGCTCCTTTCCCCCCAAGCTCCGCTCCCCGGCCCCATCCGTCACCGCCGGGGGCAGCCCTCCTCTCACCAGGACTCGCCCGGCCTCAGAGCTATCCCCAGCAGCGGCCCCAGCTCTGCCCGCTGGGCCCCGACGTCCGGCCTCGGGCCACCATCTAAGTCCGCCGCCATGTCCGTGCACCCGGCGCCCTGGCCCTGCAGCGGATATCCGGCCTGGCCGCACAGGCCAACGTGCGCAGGCGCACTGCCTTCCTCCCTGCCCCCGACTGCCGCCGGGGCCCCACGCGCCCCTTGCAGCCCCAGTGCGGGAGGAGGGTTCCACGACCTGCCAGGAACCCTGCGGGCCCGGCTGCCTGACAGAGCTTGCGGCTTGGCTGGCACTAAACATACGCAGAAACGTCCGCTGAGACCGCTAGCCTCGGTGGGCATTAAATCTGCTCCCTGTGATATTTATTTAGCTTGTGCATAGTCGTCTAGCCAAGCGATGGCATCTTCAGTGGCGTGAAGCAGTTCTTCTAGGCCACGGCTGAACCTAGTCAGCAGGCATTCATTGACAATGTGTGGCATCCTCTGTGTTGCGCCGCAGCTGCACAAAGGGCTGTCACGAAGGCTCCAGCGATACTGGTTGGCTGCACAAAGACCTTGCCTGGTCCGGAACCTGTTCAACAGGGACCATAGGCGATGGGGCAGGTCAAAACCAGGCGGGCAGATTGTGGGGTCGGCAACGAGGAACTGGTTGGGGATTATAAAACAGATATCCATTCCTCTCGCCAGAGTGTTTCTGCCCTAACATCTTGGCATGGCGGATGAGACCATAATGGGTAACGTGATGGAAAACGTGCAGCTGGTAGTTTAAAAAGGTCATTGTGCAGCAGCAAGCTTGAGTCGGTCTGTACTTTCTCCAGTAACCTGCCAATGTCAACCTCTCGTCTGATACGAGGAGCATTATTGCTCAGAACTGGAAGCCATCGGATCGGAGTCAGACGCAGGGTGCCAGAGGTGGTACGCATGATGGCATGTAACTGCGTATCCACCAGTTTGGTGTGTGACAATCAATTCCAGTACTCCGCCACTGAATACGAGGTGGCGAGAGCTGATGTCCGCAAAATTGGAGCACGAGCACTCCATGACGAACCTGCCAGTTTGGTAAGAAGATTGTTGTGCGTCTTAATTTTAGCTGCTGTCTTCTTCAGGTGGGGGCATGATAACTCAGTATGCGGTCTAAGGTCACACCTAGATAGACCAGTTCTACTTCATGCTTCACCTTCTGACCATTCAGATAAACATTCAATTCTTGGGTTGCGCTGGCATAATGAAGATGGAACAAACTGGAGACCGTTTTTATAACACTTGGCTGGAGGCCAAGTCTTACAGTAGTCAGCTAACTTTATCATGCCCCGGTTCAAGGTGGCATCAAGCTCGTGAAACGTCTGGGCCTGGGTACCACAACATATGTCGTCTGCGTAAATGAACTTGCATGATTCTGTTGTTGGCAGGTCACTGATGTAAAGGCTGGAGAAAGCACAGAGCCCTGGCGTAACCCATTGCTCTGTCTTCTCCAAGCATGCGTCTTCTCTGCCATATGGATGGCAGGAGACAACCGAGAGGATGGGCTTTACCCGCTCCAGCCGCAAGTGTTGGCGTCTGCTCTGACGCCTTGGAGCAGCGCAGCAGTCACCTGCAGTCTGCCAACCCTCAGTGACACCCAATCAAGTAGCCGGACACCTACTTAAAGTGGCCAGAGCACCTTTGGAGAAACAGGTGCGAAGACAACGAGGAACGAATGGCATGTGTTTAAACGTCTACACCAGATCAGAAGCTGCCCAGAACCATTCACTGTAACAGAGCTGGAACAGACACTGGGTAGCATCAAGTGTGGAACAGCTATCGGCTATGACAACATATCTCCAGAATTCCAGAAAAACCTTGGCCCCCATGCTTGGCTTTGGCTTGTGAAATTCTTCACCAGGGTCATCAGTGAAGATAGGCTACCAAAGATATGGTGCACTGCAAAAGTCATTGGCCTCCTAAAGCCTGGAAAGGACCCAAGTCAAGCATCAAGCTATCGTCCCATATCATTATTGTCGATGTGCTTCAAGACACTGGAGCACTTGGTCCTACAGCACATATTACCCGATGTGGAGAGAATTTTGAGCCCTGACCAAGCTGGTTTTCGCTAAGGCCATAGCACATGCGAACAAGTACTCGTGCTGACCACATTTGTTGAAAATGGCTTCCAGATAAACTTGAAAACAGGCACTGTTTTCATCAATCTAACAGCGGCATACAATATGGTATGGCACACTGGCCTGCTTGTGAAGGTATCATGGGTCCTGCTATCTTGGCTCATAGGCATCCACAATAGGCTCCCTCTGCTGCCAGGGGCTAAAGGGGCAAGCAGGGGGGATGGGCACAGTCTGTGCAGGGGGGAATGGCAGACAGATGTAGGCAGGGGCAGGAGAGGGACTGAGGGCTAAAATCAGGGAGGGAGGGTAGGAGCCAGGTTTGAGGCACTGCCTGAGGGGGCAGAGGGGAAACCCCGCATGGGGAGGGGCAGAGGGGGTAACGGTTTCCCCCAGGGCAGCGAGCCACCTGCAGTGTTTGCAAAACAGGCGGGTTGTAGCCCCTGCCACAGGGCTGTCCCGCTCAGCATCTTTCTCCCAGGGCTGGAGTTTGTGCAACCCAGTGCCTACACAAGGCAGTCTACCCTAGCTGGTGTGATGTATGGAGCTGCTAAAGGAGTCTTGAGTCAGTGAAACATTTTACACACACCCCCAAAAAACTATCGTCACAGTTTCCTGTCAATGGCCTGGACTTCCAATTTAAATAAAAAAAAATCAGCAAACCAAAGTTCTCATGTGCACAGACACAGCGTGAAGTGATAGCTGCAAATGTTTTTGCTCCATGGGCAAATGATTAATTAATTAACTATCTGAAAGATGTTGAATATTTGTTCCTGTGTGTTGATGCATCAAATCACAGACCTGTGAAATTGGTTCCTGGCTTGGTTTGCTATTTCAAGGCTTATGAAGGCAGTGTGTGTGAGCACACTAAATTTGTGGATTTTGTCAAACTTAAAAGGCGAGACCTCAGAACTCATTGCAGCTGAAATAATAAGGTTGTGCCATTCTCAGTAGATAATACAAACACAAACTTCAGCAGCCTCTACAGACATGGAAAAGAATGTTTTCATGCCAAAGTAAGATGAGCGTAGGCCTTTGATGCCCTGCTCATGTCATGCACAACTGTGCCTGAACTGCAAGGGATAGAATGCTCTCAACATCTACTGCACTTAGTTGTAATTAAGATTTTTGGATATTTTCATATATTTGCTGTTCACATAGAAAGACTGAAAAGTTTTTGCGAGTACATGGGACAAGTATATCAGAATATAGTGGGAGGCAGTAGTGTCAAATGGCTGTTGATGTTACCTGCTCTAGAGAGGATCCTTCAACTTTGAGTCATTAAAGTTGTTTTTTTTGTCAGAGGAAAAAGTGCCCAGTAGTTCCTCACAAAATATTTGAACACCCCATGTACCAAACTCTGGCTTGCTTTTATCTATTGTGACAAAGTTCCTCCTCTGCCTTGGTGGGTCCTGCGCTTATTGGCGGATTCGCTTGCCTCAGAGATTCACAGCAGCCCTCAGTTTGGCCACTTTTGCTAGTGGCTCAAACCTGCTGTTCACTCAGCTAACCTCATCACTGGCCAACATGGGAAAAAGGAAGAAGAACAATCCCCGCAGTCTCTGCTGATCCACCATGTGAGTTGGGGAACAGCCCAGAGACCTTCCCCTCTGGTGGAACCCACAGTGCAGGTCAACTCCTCCTGTGTCTGATCAGAAGTTGGGAGGTTTGGGGGGAACCCGGGCCCACCCAATACTCCAGGTGCCAGCCCAGGGCCCTGTGGACTGCAGCTCTCTAGAGTGCCTCCTGGAACAGCTGCACAACAGCTACAACTCCCTGAGCTACTTCCCCATGGCCTCCTCCCAACACCTTCTTTATCCTCTCCACAGGATCTTCCTCCTGGTGTCTGATAATCCTTGTAACGCCTCAGTCCTCCAGCAGCATATCCTCTCACTCCCAGCTCCTTATGCACACACACCACAAACTGAAGGGAGGTCCTTTTTAAACTCAGGTGCCCTGATTAGCCAGCCTGTCCTAACTGATTCTAGCAACTTCTTAATTGGCTTCAGGTGTCTTAATTAGCCTACCTGCCTGAATTTGCTCCAGCAAGTTCCTTCTTGTTCTGGAACTGCTCCTGTTACCTTACCTAGGAAAAATGGACCTGCTTTTAGGGTATGTCTACACTACGGAATAAGGTCGAATTTATAGAAGTCGGTTTTTTAGAAATCGGTTTTATATATTCAAGTGTGTGTGTCCCCACAGAAAATGCTCTAAGTGCATTAAGTGCATTAACTCGGCGGAGCGCTTCCACAATACCGAGGCTAGAGTCGACTTCCGGAGCGTTGCACTGTGGGTAGTTATCCCACAGTTCCCACAGTCTCCGCTGCCCATTGGAATTCTGGGTTGAGATCCCAATGCCTGATGGGGCTAAAACATTGTCGCGGGTGGTTCTGGGTACGTATCGTCAGGCCCCCGTTCCCTCCCTCCCTCCGTGAAAGCAAGGGCAGACAATCATTTCGCGCCTTTTTTCCTGAGTTACCTGTGCAGACGCCATACCACGGCAAGCATGGAGCCCGCTCAGGTAACCGTCACCCTATGTCTCCTGGGTGCTGGCAGACGCGGTACGGCTTTGCTACACAGTAGCAGCAACCCATTGCCTTCTGGCAGCAGACGGTGCAATACGACTGGTAGTCGTCCTCGTCGTGTCCGAGGTGCTCCTGGCCACGTCGGCTGGGAGCGCCTGGGCAGACATGGGCGCAGGGACTAAATTTGGAGTGACTTGACCAGGTCATTCTCTTTAGTCCTGCAGTCAGTCCTATTGAACCGTCTTATGGTGAGCAGGCAGGCGATATGGAACGCTAGCAGTCGTACTGTACCATCTTCTGACAGGCAGGCAAGAGATGAGGATTGCTAGTAGTCGTATTGTACCATCTTCTGCCAGGCAGGCAAGAGATGAGGATGGCTAGCAGTCGTACTGTACCATCTTCTGCCGAGCAGCCATGAGATGTGGATGGCATGCAGTCCTTCTGCACCGTCTGCTGCCAGCCAAAGATGTAAAAGATAGATGGAGTGGGTCAAAACAAGAAATAGACCAGATTTGTTTTGTACTCATTTGCCTCCTCCCCTGTCTAGGGGACTCATTCCTCTAGGTCACACTGCAGTCACTCACAGAGAAGGTGCAGCGAGGTAAATCTAGCCATGTATCAATCAGAGGCCAGGCTAACCTCCTTGTTCCAATAAGAACGATAACTTAGGTGCACCATTTCTTATTGGAACTCTCCGTGAAGTCCTGCCTGAAATACTCCTTGATGTACAGACACCCCCTTTGTTGATTTTAGCTCCCTGAAGCCAACCCGATAAGCCGTGTCGTCAGTCGCCCCTCCCTCCGTCAGAGCAACGGCAGACAATCGTTCCGCGCCTTTTTTCTGTGCGGACGCCATACCAAGGCAAGCATGGAGGCCGCTCAGCTCACTTTGGCAATTAGGAGCACATTAAACACCACACGCATTATCCAGCAGTATATGCAGCACCAGAACCTGGCAAAGCGATACCGGGCGAGGAGGCGACGTCAGCGCGGTCACGTGAGTGATCAGGACATGGACACAGATTTCTCTGAAAGCATGGGCCCTGCCAATGCATGCATCATGGTGCTAATGGGGCAGGTTCATGCTGTGGAACGCCGATTCTGGGCTCGGGAAACAAGCACAGACTGGTGGGACCGCATAGTGTTGCAGGTCTGGGACGATTCCCAGTGGCTGCGAAACTTTCGCATGCGTAAGGGCACTTTCATGGAACTTTGTGACTTGCTTTCCCCTGCCCTGAGGCGCATGAATACCAAGATGAGAGCAGCCCTCACAGTTGAGAAGCGAGTGGCGATAGCCCTGTGGAAGCTTGCAACGCCAGACAGCTACCGGTCAGTTGGGAATCAATTTGGAGTGGGCAAATCTACTGTGGGGGCTGCTGTGATGCAAGTAGCCCACGTAATCAAAGATCTGCTGATATCAAGGGTAGTGACCCTGGGAAATGTGCAGGTCATAGTGGATGGCTTTGCTGCAATGGGATTCCCTAACTGTGGTGGGGCTATAGATGGAACCCAAATCCCTATCTTGGCACCGGAGCACCAAGTCGCCGAGTACATAAACCGCAAGGGGTACTTTTCGATAGTGCTGCAAGCTCTGGTGGATCACAAGGGACGTTTCACCAACATCAACGTGGGATGGCCGGGAAAGGTGCACGATGCTCGCATCTTCAGGAACTCTGGTCTGTTTCAAAAGCTGCAGGAAGGGACTTTATTCCCAGACCAGAAAATAACTGTTGGGGATGTTGAAATGCCTATATGTATCCTTGGGGACCCAGCCTACCCCTTAATGCCATGGCTCATGAAGCCGTACACAGGCAGCCTGGACAGTAGTCAGGAGCTGTTCAACTACAGGCTGAGCAAGTGCAGAATGGTGGTAGAATGTGCATTTGGACGTTTAAAGGCGCGCTGGCGCAGTTTACTGACTCGCTTAGACCTCAGCGAAACCAATATTCCCACTGTTATTACTGCTTGCTGTGTGCTCCACAATATCTGTGAGAGTAAGGGGGAGACATTTATGGCGGGGTGGGAGGTTGAGGCAAATCGCCTGGCTGCTGGTTACGCGCAGCCAGACACCAGGACGGTTAGAAGAGCACAGGAGGGCGCGGTACGCATCAGAGAAGCTTTGAAAACCAGTTTCATGACTGGCCAGGCTACGGTGTGAAAGTTCTGTTTGTTTCTCCTTGATGAAACCCCCGCCCCTTGGTTCACTCTACTTCCCTGTAAGCTAACCACCCGCCCCTCCTCCCTTCAATCACCGCTTGCAGAGGCAATAAAGTCATTGTTGCTTCACATTCATGCATTCTTTATTCATTCATCACACAAATAGGGGGATGACTACCAAGGTAGCCCAGGAGGGGTGCTGGAGGAGGGAAGGAAAATGCCACACAGCACTTTAAGCACAGCACTTTAAAAGTTTACAACTTTAAAATTTATTGAATGACAGCCTTCTTTTTTTTGGGCAATCCTCTGTGGTGGAGTGGCTGGTTGGCCGGAGGCCCCCCCACCGCGTTCTTGGGCGTCTGGGTGTGGAGGCTATGGAACTTGGGGAGGAGGGCGGTTGGTTACAGAGGGGCTGCAGTGGCAGTCTGTGCTCCAGCTGCCTTTGCTGCAGCTCAACCATACACTGGAGCATACTGGTTTGGTCCTGCAGCAGCCTCAGCATTGAATCCTGCCTCCTCTCATCACGCTGCCGCCACATTTGAGCTTCAGCCCTGTCTTCAGCCCACCACTTACTCTCTTCAGCCCGCCACCTCTCCTCCCGGTCATTTTGTGCTTTCCTGCACTCTGACATTATTTGCCTCCACGCATTCGTCTGTGCTCTGTCAGTGTGGGAGGACAGCATGAGCTCGGAGAACATTTCATCGCGAGTGCGTTTTTTTTTTCTTTCTAAGCTTCACTAGCCTCTGGGAAGGAGAAGATCCTGTGATCATTGAAACACATGCAGCTGGTGGAGAAAAAAAAAAGGGACAGCGGTATTTAAAAAGACACATTTTATAAAACAGTGGCTACACTCTTTCAGGGTAAACCTTGCTGTTAACATTACATACATAGCACATGTGCTTTCGTTACAAGGTCACATTTTGCCTCCTCCCACCACGTGACTACCCCCTCAACCTTCCCCCCTCCCTGTGGCTAACAGCGGGGAACATTTCTGTTTAGCCACAGGCAAACAGCCCAGCAGGAATGGGCTCCTCTGAGTGTCCCCTGAAGAAAAGCACTCTATTTCAACCAGGTGACCATGAATTATATCTCACTCTCCTGAGGATAACACAGAGAGATAAAGAACGGATGTTGTTTGAATGCCAGCAAACATACACTGCAATGCTTTGTTCTACAATGATTCCCGAGTACGTGTTACTGGCCTGGAGTGGTAAAGTGTCCTACCATGAAGGACGCAATAAGGCTGCCCTCCCCAGAAACCTTTTGCAAAGGCTTTAGGACTACATCTAGGAGAACCGCAAATGCCAGGGCAAAGTAATCCTTTCACATGCTTGCTTTTAAACCATGTATAGTATTTTAAAAGGTACACTCACCAGAGGTCCCTTCTCCGCCTGCTGGGTCCAGGAGGCAGCCTTGGGTGGGTTCGGGGGGTACTGGCTCCAGGTCTAGGGTGAGAAACAGTTCCTGGCTGTCGGGAAAACCGGTTTCTCCGCTTGCTTGCTGTGAGCTATCTACAACCTCCTCCTCATCATCATCTTCTTCGTCCCCAAAACCTGCTTCCATATTGCCTCCATCTCCATTGAAGGAGTCAAACAACACGGCTGGGGTAGTGGTGGCTGAACCCCCTAAAATGGCATGCAGCTCATCATAGAAGCGGCACGTTTGGGGCTCTGACCCAGAGCGGCTGTTCACCTCTCTGGTTTTCTGGTAGGCTTGCCTCAGCTCCTTCAGTTTCACGCGGCACTGCTTCGGGTCCCTGTTATGGCTTCTGTCCTTCATGCCCTGGGAGATTTTCACAAAGGTTTTGGCATTTCGAAAACTGGAACGGAGTTCTGATAGCACGGATTCCTCTCCCCAAACAGCGATCAGATCCCGTACCTCCCGTTCGGTCCATGCTAAAGCTCTTTTGCGATTCTGGGACTCCATCATGGTCACCTGTGCTGATGAGCTCTACATGGTCACCTGCAGCTTGCCACGCTGGCCAAACAGGAAATGAGATTCAAAAGTGCGCGGTTCTTTTCCTGTCTACCTGGCCAGTGCATCTGAGTTGAGAGTGCTGTCCAGAGCGGTCATAATGGAGCACTCTGGGATAGCTCCCGGAGGCCAATACCATCGAATTGTGTCCACAGTACCCCAAATTCGAGCCGGCAACGTCGATTTAAGCGCTAATCCACTTGTCAGGGGTGGAGTAAGGAAATCGATTTTAAGAGCCCTTTAAGTCGAAATAAAGGGCTTCATTGTGTGGACGGATGCAGGTTTACATCGATTTAACGCTGCTAAATTCGACCTAAAGTCCTAGTGTAGACCAGGGCTTAATCTGGGACTTTTATGTCTGCTTCAAAAAAATCAGTTGCCTGCGCCGAGAGTGCCCCTCTGAGGAATGTGGGGCTGGAGTCTTCATGGCCAGTCACTTTGACAGACATTACTGTGGCAAGTGCTGCCTGACATACTGCTTCAACAAACCAGAAGACAAGTAAATGTATCTGTGTTAATAAAAAAACCCTCAGATTTTGAAAAAAAACAACAAAACCACTCTCCTGTAGCCATCACACTGTAGACCCTGTCACACTATGCAAAAATGACACTTTTCCTGACAATCCAAATGCTTGAGGGAGATGATCAAAATGCAGTAAAGTGGGAGGATATCTTAAACAATCTCGAAAAGAAGCTGGTTACAAGGTATGAAGAAGACTTTGTGCCTGTTTTACTGAGAAAACTACTTAGAGACCTAGAAGAAGTGGGGTTCTGACACATCAGTGCTATCTTAATGTGTCGAGATCTTTCTTTGATACAGCCATAAAATAAATATATGCCTGGGGAAAGCATACAGATGACTTGAGAGATTTGAAGTTTCTGCTTTTAAATAAAGTTTCTTTAAGACCCAAGATTGAAACAGCAGTCAAGTTACTGCAGAAGAAATGCCCGAATGTGACAATAACTAGGATGTACTGTTTGATGAAGTAACTCTGTTCAATAAATTTATGACAGGAAAACTGTGAGAATGGAATGACAACTACAGTTTTCACAGTATGTTGCAGTGGGGGAGGTTTAGGTTGGATATTAGGAAAAACTTTTTCACTAGGAGGGTGGCGAAACACTGGAATGCGTTACCTAGGGAGGTGGTAGAATCTCCTTCCTTAGAAGTTTTTAAGGTCAGGCTTGACAAAGCCCTGGCTGGGATGATTTAATTGGGGATTGGTCCTGCTTTGAGCAGGGGGTTGGACTAGATGACCTCCTGAGGTCCCTTCCAAGCCTGATATTCTATGATTATGTGATTCTATGTGGCAGATGGGATGAAGTAATCAAGCATTTTAGAGAACCCTCAGTATATGCAAATATTTTAAAAAATGGCAGAACTGATGCTTCACTCAAGAACATTTTCTGTCATGAATGACCTGTGCACAGCAGAAAAATCCAGATACAAGGCTGAAACTGTGAAAGCCATTCTCATTGGCTAAGCAGCAGTTCTGCAGAAAAGGACCTGGGGATTACAGTGGATGAGAAGCTGGATATGAGTCAGAAGTGTGCCCTTGTTGCCAGGAAGGCTAACGCCATATTGGGCTGCATTAGTAGGAGCATTGCCAGCAGATTGAGGGAAGTGATTATTATGTCCGGTTTTGATTCCCCCACTACAGAAGGGATGTGGACAAACTGGAGAGAGTCCAGCAGAGGGCAATGAAAATGATTAGGGGGCTGTGGTGAGGAGAGGGTGAGGGAACTGGGCTTGTTTAGTCTGCAGAAGAGTGAGGAGGGATTTGATAGCTGCCTGAAGGGGGCTTCCAAAGAGGATGGAGCTTGGCTTTTCTCAGTGGTGGCAAATGACAGAACAAGGAGCAATGGTCTCAAGTTACAGTGGGGGAGGTCTAGGTTGGATATTAGGAAACACTATTTCACTAGGAGGGTGGGTTACCTTCAGAGGTGGTGGAATCTCCCTCCTTAGAGGTTTTTAAGGCACGGTTTGACAAAGCCCTGGCTGGGATGGTTTAGTTGGTGTTGGTCCTGCTTTGAGCAGGGGGTTGGACTAGATGACCTCCTGAGGTCTTTTCTAACCCTAATCTTCTATGATTCTGTGATTGTCAAAACAAACTTCACTTTGCCTTGTCTTGAGTTCAGCAAACTGAGCAAGAACATTACAATTCTAAGACAGATATACTCAACTCATCAGAAATACAGCTATTATTCCAGCAAGCTTCTCTAATACTCACCAGTATTGCTGATGCTGGCAGCACAATTCCTTATATGCATCCGGGGTGGGAGTTGTCCATCTACAGACGATTTCCGTCTCTTAGACCATTGGAGGGGTATGCAGAGGTCTTCCAGGGAGTATGTCAGTTCATCTAGATATTTGCCTGGTTTTACAACAGGCTGCATAAAAATCACGAGCAAAGTCAGTACAAACTAAAACTTCGTAGAATGACGTGTTTATACTGCTCTATATACTATACACTGAAATGTAAGTATAATATTTATATTTCAATTGAATTATTTTATAATTATATGATAAAAAGGGAAAGTAAGCAATTATTCAGTGATAGTGTGCTGTGACACTTTTGGCTTTTTATGTCTGATTTTGTAAGCAAGTAATTTTTAAGTGAGGTGAAACATGGAGGTACGCAAGACAAATCAGACTCCTGAAAAGGGTACAGTAGTCTGGAAAGATTGAGAGTCACTGTCCTAGACATTTTGGGGGAACTGTGAAAAATTGAGGGAGCTTTTTTGTATTATTATACATACAAACTCTATAAAACCATTTTGTTTATAGTTTTATAATGCTCCACTACATGGTGAGAAGTCACTTCTGTTCATTCTCATTTAAAATTGTTACATTCTTTATATCCACATTATAGTTGACTGCATGGTTGTATGGTAGAGGTTTAGCTCCAGGCAGATTCCACTAGCAGAAGCAACAAAGTAGTCATGCCAGTTTTCTTGAAATGTGGAGATAACACAGCACTCATTGATAAATCTGTGAAAAATAAATGGTATTGGCAGTGATGTGAAGAAAAAGATTCTTTAAATAGGCCATACTATGGACAACGGGTACAGAAAACTGATGTTCTTGAACAGTGTTTTTGTATTGTTTGTAACTGGTGTCTGAATGCACTTCTTTAGCGTGGTGTCACCTCCACTGTGATTATATGCATATTTATAGTATGCATCGACAGTATGCATCCGATGAAGTGAGCTGTAGCTCACGAAAGCTTATGCTCAAATAAATTGGTTAGTCTCTAAGGTGCCACAAGTACTCCTTTTCTTTTTGCATATTTATCGTGTATATTTTAAGAGTTACATATATAACTGCTAAAAATATTTTGCTTTGCTGTGCTCCGCAACTTACATTTTCAGTCTTGGCTACTTTGCTGTGCTTTCATCCCATGTGTCCCCACATTTGATTTACAAAATACGGTCACCTTAGATTGCTAGTAGTTTTAGCAACGACAGCTGTGTTTCTAGTGTAACACTTCCTATGTTTCAGAGTAGCAGCCGTGTTAGTCTGTATTCGCAAAAAGAAAAGGAGTACTTGTGGCACCTTAAAGACTAACCAATTTAGTTGAGCATAAGCTTTCGTGAGCTTGAGCTGTAGCTCAGGGAAGCTTATGCTCAAATAAATTTGTTAGTCTCTAAGGTGCCACGAGTACTCCTTTTCTTTTTACTTCCTATGTTTTTACTGTGGTTTTTAATTTGGAATTTTTAATTTTTAATTTTTCTTATTTTTATAATACAAGTTTATTCTGATGGATCATGTGACTTCCATTTTGACTGATTTCCTGGTCTGGTGTTGAAACTTCATTTTCATTTGACCCACCAATGGGGATTGCCTGATGTTATGCTTCTCAATCCAGCCCTTGGTGCTTTTTTGCATGTCACTGCTGCTGTGGAGAACTTGGTTTCCAAATATTAACTAAGGGCAGTATAATAGGTCATATTAAATCCTCTTGAAAGGCAAATATCTAGTGTGATTTTTATTGAACCCATCTAGAATCCCAAGATTACTTAACCACCATAACTGAAAAAATCCTGAGTTACTCACCCACAAGTCATGATGCATAAAAACAACAACAAAAACCCCAATATTTATTTATGTGCCTTTTTGGTCCTGAGCCTTTAGTGTGCAGTAGGCCCAGATCCACAAAGCCTAAACATCTTAGTGAATCTTGGCCTAACCTTATACTGTTGTTGTTACCTCTCACAAACAATTCATATACTTAAGGCCACTACAAACTTATGTCGACTCAAATTACATCAACATAGAGCCACCACAGTTAGCATATCATGGTTCTGAATTCAATAATGAGGTAAAAAGACTTATTTTTGAGATTGAAGAAATAGTAAAAAAACAGTCACATTATCAGGTCCTAGATAGCTGATGGTGAATACGGGCTTCATTATCCTCATGAGTTTCTTTAATGTGAATTGTTGCTGACAAGTTTTTCAGCCCACCCACCCTATTTTTGCAAGCACTGGAGTGGCTCATCCCATGAGGGATTGCAATAAAAAAAAAAATCTGTCTCCTTACCCACTAACACCCCTTCCCCCATATATATTTTTTCCCATATAGTAATACTAAAAAGGTGGGATAGTAAACCACAGTATTTGCACACAAAAGAGGGAAAACAATAGACATGTAGACTTTTCCAAAGGAAAGTTTATGGCATAATTTTTTCTTTCAGTTTAACCTGATCCTTTGTAAAAAAAAAAAAAAAATTGGAATAAAATATAGTATCACCAGCCCCATACCACCCACAAATCAATGGGTTGGATGAAAACACCAACAAATCCATCAAAAGGTAATTTTAGGGTGAAAATATTCTACTAGTAAAGGCAAATAGAATGTACCATTCCATAAGCTCTTTACACCCCCATCAGTTTTTCCCTCTAGTTCCTCCATCTGTCCAGCACTCTAGTGCCCCAATCTGCACATTAGTTAAAACTCCTCAGTCTTTTTAACCTTTTCACCCAGGCCTGCCCTCTACTCCAGGTGCCAGCTCAGGGATCTTCTGGCCAGTAGCCAAGGCCTGCACTGTCCTACACACCCCACTTAGGGAGAGACTACAACCTAGTTCCCTATGGCTGCTTCTGTTACCAGCTTCCTGGCTTTATAAAGCTGGCCCAGCTCCTCCCCCAGCTGGGCTTCATCAGCCAATTAGGCATTAGTGCTCCCTGGCTTTCCTTTTCCAGGTGCAGCCTGTGGAGTTTTTTGACCCACCTGGCCATCTTAACCCCTTCCAGTGCTGTGTGGGGTGGACACAGGTGTACCCCATCTATCAGAATTGCTACCCCTGGACCAGAGGATGACAAAGGTGAGAGAATAAATAAGAATGGTAATTGGAGAAGAGAGCAGTCCCTGCCAAGTAGTGGAAGGGAGAATGGGGATCTCTGGTATGGGGGAAGGTGGAATAGGGGGCACAAAAGAGCCTGGTGGGTGGGAGAACGGGAGACCCAGGAATGCAGAGCTAGCCCTGAGCAGGGGGATAATGGTATCAGGAAGGGGGATGAGAGGGACACAGAGCCCCTAGAATGGG